GACAATCGGCTCAAAGATGGCGGTAAGTTTGTCAGCCCTACGCGCCGGCCGCGCTTTACTCCCCAGGAAAATTATTTAATTAATTCCTGGTACTCATTTCTGTTAGAGGCTGAGTCGACCCCAGGGCCATAGTGCGGCGGTCAACTGAAAAAATCNCTCTCTATTCATAGACCTGTTTTCTATTACATTATTATCTGATAATCAGCAAAGTTCATAATTCATACATCTATGAGATTTTTCGCTTTATGTTTCATATAAATTCACATATTCATATAAATAAAAACTGTAGGTTACACCGGACTTAAAACCAGAGTTATCTCTGAAGACGCAGTAGAGGGTTCAGTACAGCTGTAAAGTAAATAATTCAGTTTTATCATCTTCTATTGCTTGTTTCTTGTAAGAATTACCTTCCTCTGGACTAACAAGATCTTTTATTTCTTTTTTAATGTATAAGTATTCATGCGCTAAACACGTCCGAAGGTTCAACTATTTTTGGCTTGGCGCTTGTATCACGTCGCCGACCTATGATTTAGTTTGCAGCTTGTGTTTCACTCTTTTCTGATAGACTAGTGAGAAAGTGTCAGCGTGATTTGTGCATTTGTTAGGAAAGATGAAGTTCTACCGACTTTTTTTTTTAATCTTATGCTTTGCGTTATACCGCCTCTGTGATCTAGTGGTCAGAGTTCCTGGCTTCAGATCCAGAGGTCCGGGTTCGATTCCCGGCGCTACCAGATTTTCTGAGAAGTAGTGGGTTTGGAACGGGGTCCACTCAGCCTCATGAGGATAAATGAGGATATATTTGAAGGAAATAGCGGCTCCGGTCTAGATACCCGAGATTAACGGTCGTGGGGAGTCTTTGCGCTGACCACGCGACACCCTCTATCCCGCAAAAGTTTGCACTAACTTCTCCGACAAGCGGCGGTCGCTCGGTCGGTATAGTTCGCTTGCGGACTACAACCACGGAGATGTTTTGCGTTAAACCAGGATGTGCTACCCTGAAGCCTTGAAGATGGAGACAGAAAGTGCCTTCGAAATGTTGGAACGTACCTATGAGACTACACGGTGACGTATCGGAGAAGATAGTGATTTTAATATTTGTTGCCTGAGAGCCTTAGTCTCAGGATATGTGAAGTCATGAATTGGAAAACGCCGTGGCGCATTGCATTTTTTTTTTGGCTCTTTGNGTGTTCTTTCCCCCCCCCCCCATGATACAGTACCAATATTTAGAATCCTCAAGGTACATAAACCGTGTATTGTTCATTGCGACCACCAGTAATTGAAGATCGATTCGCTGCTGGATTTAAGCAGTCTGAAGCCCCTGTGTTATATGTTTAGAGGGTCTCTTCCATTGTTGCTGTGCGCGCATGTGTGCTGTGTATTTGAATGTGAAGAGGACAGGAAAAAAGAACTGGCGATTGAAATAAAATATTGACTTTAGATACACGTGTACACCTGTTTTGTTATAGAAGGCCCTGGAACAACTACCCCGCAGTCCTCTGGTCAGTCCAGTGGATCCTAGTTCGGAACTGAATTTGAAGATTTCTCAAATGAACCAGTTGCTACTAGTCATGTTTTGTGTGGGTTAAATGAATACCTTATTTACATAAACCTTTGAACTGTTGACACGATGTAATTAAGTCTTCTGATTTTGCATGGAAATTAATATAGTTTCCTTCTTCTTCTGTTTTAAAAATGTCATCCTCGTTCTGTATTGAGCGTATGCTGTACTGTGATGTGCAGAAGTCCATATATATAGGTTAGCCTTGTATGCCGATTCAATTCAAGGCATGAACTACGTGTTCTATAGTCCATTCGCGGAGACGAGACAGTTAGCGTAAACAAAGCAAGCCCCGAGTCGCCACAGCTGACAGCAAGGAGTGGACAAAGCGCGCAGTTACTCAGTGTACTCACTGCATTCGGACGCACGTTAACCTGCATTCAGACTGAAGAGTGAACTTTGGACGCCCCTGCAACGATACACGCATCACGTGATCCCTGCATGATTTCATTCAAAGAGCGAAGGAGATACCGCGTGCATTTGTTTACGAGGACTCTCTCGTCTCAACGAATGGACTGTAGTGACTATTGGCCATTACGTTCAACGTTATCAAGCGTTTCAGATATCTTAAAGCACGTTTCTGAAATTGGATATTTCCACCAGCTGTAAAGGAGCTGGGATAACGCAGTCGGTATAACGACTGGTTACGGGCTCGACGGCCGAGAGGTCGGAGTTCGAGTCCCGGTAAGGGTAAGATTTTTCTCCTCCGCATCACCCAGACCGGTTCTGTGGCCCACCAAGCCTCCTATTCAATGGGTGCCGGGCGTGAAGCTGGCCACTCACCTTCGACTAGTGCCAAGGTCAACAATACGTGGATCTATACATCCAATCCCCCATACGTCTTCATGACGTTGTGTTTAATTAGTTCAGCACAGGGACAACTACCCATAAGGGAGGAAAGGTTCCTTCTCCGTTGAGCCCGCTAGAAAGTATGTCAACTTGTCCAGTGATTGAGACTACCACAGAAACCGTTTCCAAAACATTGATTTTCTAAAGTTCAAGATGATGGACAGTGCCCATAATAATGATCATTGAAACACGTCATTGTCAGAAGCCTTTTAGATTTTGCTTAATTGTTTTGACGTAATTTCTCTTTATAAGGAAACGAGGAGACTTATCAGTTCACCACGATGTCTATATGTGAATATCCATCCCTATGAACTTTTCTACCAGTAACCGATTTTGACGAAATTTGTTATGAACTTTCTGCCATTATTGGCCACCCCCATCTTTTTAATCTCCTGCATTAAATAGAATAATTTTAATTCTTTAATAAAATTGTGGCTAATGTGAATTATGAAATCTTATTCACTTTGGGTCCCAGACTTTTGAAACTGAAGTTCACATCTGGTTACATGTTAGTAGAATGATGAAATACGTACGTATCTTATTTGAGTTAAAAGTTGACGATGTGTGTAATTAGCTCGTACGCTCTCTTTACGTGCCTGTAGTAAGAACATAGTGATGTGAACAGTGTGGCCTGTTGTACGATGTTTTACGTTAAATAGGCTATATATACAGTTATATATATATATATAATTCCAACGAGGAGAGGTGGTACAAATGGGCTGTTGTAATAAAACAGCGATGTATTACGGANCCTCTACCTGTAGACAAACACACAAAAACGCACACACACAAACTAAACATCCATGCCCTGAGTGGGATTCGAACCCACGATCCCGGCTTCCGAGCGAGCGAAGACAGTACATGCCTTAGACCGCTCGGCTACCGTGACCGGCGTTGTATGTTCTTTAGTGTTACATAATTATCATGCGGTCATGTTTTAACGAAACCTCGACTTTGGTTCTATAGGCCTAATTCGCATTCAGCGTCTCCATCTGTTGGGCCCACGAAAACTTAGTTCTTCGGTAGGATGGTTCATTTGTGAATTGGTTTGGACAGGTCTGTGCCCTTCATCTTGTGGGTTCTGGGAAAAGGAGTAGGAAGCCCATCGCCAGGATTAGAATCAACAAGTTACAGAATGCTCAGAGAGATTTTTATTTTGTGGTATTTTCCTTATTCTATATAACATTCCTGTAGCAGAGTCCGAAGATATATAACGCTGAATTAAGTGTGTACCATTGTCACATGTTAGCGACTAGACACGGGATCTGGATCTGTAGTTGGATTTATTGAACTCTTAAAATCATAACTACAAGTAATTGTAGCCCTCTTGCTAATTCGCGCGCTCGACTTCTCACTCCAGCACGCAGGCTTCTCAGTTTGCCTTCATTAGCCGTTGCTCTGTTACGGTTCCCAACGATGTAGTCTTCAGCTTCAGTGTTCACAGTCTCACTGCTAAATGCTACTCCAACTGCCGATTCTCAACAGTACCTCAGGCCTCCTGGCCATGACTGCCCACTCACTGGCTATGCCTGGCTCTCATTGGCCGTCGACTGACTGAAGAATTACTTCTGGTCTCGTCAGCACAATTATTCTTGGTTCCGAGCCCCATGGGACCCTATATAGCAACGACACGGACCTTATAGAGAATATCGTTTCTAACAATATCTTTAATTGTTGTGGCCGCTGATACCTAGCAGTGAGCTGGATTTTGTTACATATTTATCCAGCCGTTGCCTTGCAAGGGGAGATTGGTTGAAGGCGGTAATATATTCTAAGGATCTTCACATTTTTCTTAAGCATGACGGCTTGGGCCAGGATTTAAACCAGATATTTCAAGACCATGGGCACGTGATAATCTGATCCGGTGTAGAAATAGTTACCTTGCCATGACAGATAAGATAATTTTGTCACGCTGTTGTATTTACTTAGGCTTTGCTCCCGTCTTCCACATATGGAGTACAGTATTTCATTCGAAGTTCAGAGGATGTCGACCTGCAGGGATGTAGATATTGTATTATTGTTGCTAATCCCCCCCTTTCATCTTTTGCAGGTACGAACTGAGTTACATAGTAGTGATTACAGAAACCGACTTACGTTTTCTTCTTGTTATCAAATATGGTATTTCGCTTTGAAACTGGGAGCTATCCACATTTCCAGGCGACAGCTTTGCAAACATGTTCACCGCGCAACAATAGAGCAACTTGGTCGTCAACTTACGACCACAAAAAATGAAAAATAAAAGATCATTAAAATGTAAAAGTTTTTAAAAATAAATTATAAAGATAATAAAAAGATTAGAAAGGTTAAAAAATACTGTTAATAAATAAATATATGGCCGACTTACGACCTGTCAGTCAGAACGGAAGTCCATCTAACCGACGACTAAGTGTATTTACATACTCAATAGGATGCACACCATCAAAATAAATTCCCTGTTGTTTTATTTTGATTCCATCAATTAAAATATAATAAGATCCTGTTTTTCTTTAAAATAAAATGTCTTGCCATGCTATTGAGCCGTAAATTAATTGTATGTACTTAAATATAATAATTTCCAAAGCAATGATATATTTTTCTCTCTCTCTCTCAATAGTTACAATGGGTCTGCGGTCTCCGGGGAAGACATCCCCAATCAGAGGTCGCACCGTGAAGGAATACGAAGACCAACTGACCCAATTAAGGAAGGAAAATTTCAATCTCAAGCTCCGAATATATTTTTTGGAAGAAAGAATGGGACATATGAATGCTGCCGACGATAAGGAGGATCCTGTGAAGAAGAATATCGAGTTAAAGGTAAACTTCAGCTTTTCATCGAAAGTGTGCTTTTTGTTGGTCTATGCACTTAGTTTAACGGCCAAGGTAACAGCCTCAAAGAAAAAAGCAAACGTAGCCATGGAATAAATACGGTAATCCCTCATTGACCGCTGGGGTTACGTTGCTGAAATATTCCAATTGGCAAAACCGCGATTTTATGGGCAAAGTTTTATGGAGTACTGGGGAAGGGTGGGGTGGGGGGGTTAGGAGAGCCACGACTCATGTTCTTTCTGTGCCACCGCATTTTCATGTATACAAAACAAACTCCGTGGTTTTAGTCCGTAAGCGAACTATACCGACCGAGCGACCGCCGTTTGTCGGCGAAGTTAGTATCAGCTTTTGCGGATAGAGGGTGTCGCATGGTCAGCGCAACGAATCCCCACGGCCGTTAATTTCGGTTTTCTAGACTGGAGCCGCTATTTCCTTTAAATAGCTCCTCATTTATCCTCACGAGGCTGAGTGGACCCCGTTCCAGACCCACTACTTCTCAGAAAATCTGGTAGCACCGGGAATCGAACCCGAACATCTGGATCTGTAGCCAGGAACTCTGACCACTAGACCACAGAGTTGTGTATGCACAAATTAAAGATCGCGGTCGGCAGAGCTGGAAGGCTGGTTTTCCCCGTCGTGCGCCACTGATATTTTCTGTGGTTCTCAAATCAAAAGTCAGCGATACATAAAATCAAATAAGCCTTGCTGCTGGCCAGACTGGATACAAATGGAAAACCGCGTTTGGGCAACCTGTGGTTGGCAAAGGATTGATGTACATATGTGTGTTAAATTCTCATATTCATCCCTTTTCAAATCTTCCCTGCAGAAGGACTAAAACCTTGTCCTTATAGGTTAGAATTGGCCTGTTAGAGGATACAGTCATTACATCATGGTTGTGGTACAGGATTTTATTTTCAAATGTCCCAGTAATATATGGGAGCTGGGATGGCATAGTCAGTATAGCGACTGGCTATGGGCTGGATGACTGAGGTTGGAGTTCTAGTCCTGGTAGGGTAAAGAATTTTCTCTTCACGTCTTCCAGACCGGCTCTGGGGTCCACCCAACCTCCTGTCCAATGGGTACCGGGGGCTCTTTCCCCGCGGGTAAAGCGGCCGGGGCGTGAAGTTCACCACTCGCCTCCATCTGGTACTGAAGTCAAGGAAATGTGAATCTATACGTCCACTCCCCCATACGCCTTCATGTCATAGTGCTTAATTAGTTACGCACAGGGACAGCTTTACATTACCCAGTTATACACGGTGTGTCCAGGATCCATTGGGACTTTTTTCTTTCCTCCCTGCAATGCCATCTGTTGGCGAGTTGTGGCTTTAAGATTCTTGAAGTTTCAGCTGTGAATGTCTATAATTTCAAAGCGCAAGCATCGCTGGATCATGTGTTCTGACCTTGAATCTAACAGTACCGTTCTGACGCTCGTCGGAAAATGGCGGTTGAACAGAGAGCCAACATCAAATTTTGTTTGAAGTTAGGCAGAACAGCCGGATAAGCTTACAAAATGATGAAAAGTGTGTACGGTAGTGATTGTTTGAGTCGCTCGAACATTTTTCGATGGTATGCTGTATTTCATGACGGCAGGGAGAACATTGAAGCCGCTCCACGTGCATCAAAGCCGAGAACAAGTCTCACTGAAGGAAATGTGGAAAAAAATGACCGAAATCCTTGCATCAGACAGATGTGTTTCTGCAAGACTCGTCGAGAGCTTTTGGGAATACCGAAAAGTACTGTGCATCAAAGTTTGACCGAAGATTTGGGCAAACGGAAGGACTGAGCGCAGTTTGTGCCGCACACGCTGCCAGGCGATGAGAAACATGCCAGAGTTGAACACTACAAAGACGTGTTACAGTCGACCCAAAGTGATACAGAATTTACAAAATCGATTGTTACTGGTGACTAGACATTGTGTTTTCAATATGAGTATCTCACAAAGTGGCAGAATGCAGCGTGGTTGAGCCCAAAGAAGCCAGCCGAAACCAAAGAAAGTGCGAATGCAAAAGAGTCAAGTAAAGACACTGCTAACCGTTTTTTCGATTCCAAAGGAATCATTCACAAGGAATTTCTGCCAGAAGGTCAATCGGTGAATTCTGATTATTATCTCGGAGTCCTCAGTCGTTTGTGGGTGAGAATTCTTCGAATTCGATCTGAATTTCGAGAGCAAGGTTCCTGGTTGCCCCTCCACGACAATGCCCCACCCCACAAATCGAAGATCATGCGCGATTTTTTGGGCCAGAAAATGGATCACAGTCCTTGATGATCTGAATTAAACTGAAATACAGTTTGTTTCCCTATGTCAGACTCTTCAGTGCTCTTTGTTATTGACACACCAGCATCTAGCTTCTCAGGAATTGAAATTATAGCCATATTAGTCAAAATGACACACATCCATTTGAGTTCACTTTATTAAATGCCATTATTCACACTTAGAACTCTTTTAGGATATGAAAAAATGATTATTTTATGGTGAGAGACTTCCTCGCTGAAGATGTCAAATGACTGAGAAGGTACAGCAATGTCGTACTGATCAGCTAAGTAGGACTTAACTAGATTAGTAAGATTTCACTGTAATCACTGATAAAGAATGGGAAGTTTTTTTATACATTTCATGTATTTAGGTTGAAGCAGAGCAATTAAGGAAGGAAGTGTCTGACAAAGAGGTTCTGATTTGTCAAGCTGCCAAAGCTTTGGAACTTGCAGATGAAGAACATCAGGGTGAGCTAAAGAAGATACGGGAGGAAAGGCACATTGAGAAAGAAGAGATGAAATCAAGAATACAGGAGTTGGAGACTGTAAGTTAAAGTCTTAGTGAAACTTCTGAAATCCTCAGTGTCCATAGTTGTCTTAAATATCTTTTGAAGTCCAGTCATTGAATGTCAGGAAACCTTGCTCTGTCTGGTTGTATAGGATATAATTAAAGGCATTTAAGTGTGTTCTGAATATAAATAATTTTCATACAGACTTTTAATATCATTCTAAATCTCTTTATGTTGTAAATTAGTGAAACATTTATTTATGTAATGGACAGTACACCAGATGATAACAGAGCTTGAAATAAAATATGGGTATTTCCTGTAGGCTTATAATTTTGTAGGAGACTGTATTTAAGCTGGTGGTCAGAAAGAAATCCTAAGAACCCATAGATATCTCTTGGTCCCTGTTCTAGGAGCTGAGACTGAAATTTTATGTCTGTGACAGACACAGAAACTTGCTCTACACAACTACAACGATTTTTCAGACACCTGGAAGGAAAACATGTAAACAGGAACTAAATGCTTTAGAGTTCCTTGGGTTCATTGTCTTAATCCCTACATATCTGAAATGTGGAGTGGGAAAGCCAGATTGAACTAAGATATCGACTTTTCATCTTTAGTAACTATAATAAACATAGGCAACCCACATCTTTGCAGTAGGGAGCTGTTCACACTGTCAGTAAGATGTCATCTCATCAATAGCCATGACCATTCTGAGTAAAACATCTGCTGCTGCTGGTAGTGATTTTTTTATTGCTAGTGGGGTGGGACTAAGTCCCTTGTACTGTGGACACTTCTGGCCTATTGTACCAGCTCCAGATGATAGGTGAGGGTGATTGTGGAGCAGTTGGTGGAATGAAGATTGGCAGGGGAAACCGAAGTACTCAGAGAAAACCTGCCCCAGCGCCACTTTGTCCACCACAAATCCCACTTGACCAGACCCGGGATCGAACCCGGGCCGCCACGATGGGAAGCCAGCGATTAACCACCTGAGCTATGGCGTGGCCCTGCTGGTAGTGATGGTACTGCTACCACCACCAGCCTATTACTTCTATAATACTACTGCTTCTTCTACTACTACTACTACACTTCCTCTCTTTGCACCTTCTGACTTGCATAAGGTTTCTTGTACTTCAGATGTTGATCATTGTAACACCCTTCAAACTAATTCCTTCTGCAGGAAATTTATTTGACAGCCTGTTGCAAATCTTTCAGTCAGCAGTCAGTCCAGTGTAAGAGAGACAAGCTCCTTGCATGAACTCACGTTGCTTATTTTTGTGGCTGCAGCACAGTTATAATATTTAGTATAATATTACTCTAGTATGATTTCATTTTTACATTTTTAATAATTTCATTGACTCTTGTGTATTATTCCTACATGGTGATAACTAATTAACTGAGAAAATTAATCTGTTTGATGATATAACATTACTTATCTCTGAGATCAAAACAGGCTGCAAATGTCAAAAAAATTACTAGTGCAATTGAACAAAACAAAATTTAGTATTTGTGCCCTCTTTAGGTTGTGACATCCTTTTGCACCAATTTCTGAAAGTAATAAAAATTACAGATCCAAAAAACTGGTGCTTTTGATTCTGTCTGTACACTGATTTTGCTCAAATCTTCCTTGCGTGTCTGCACATGTTGGGACATGAAGACTCGTTTGAAAAGTTTGCAATTAATTTTACTCTCTCACATATTTCACTACTGTTAGTGGCCTTGCAGAAAGGAATACAAATCATTAAAATAGAATAAATGACCAGCAAAACTAATTGTTTGTGAACATTCAATCATTTTCATTTACAGGAACTGAAAGAATATGAGAACAAGCTGAAAGACCCAAAATTTTTGCAACTCGACTCTACCGCTTTGATGACTGAAGTATTTGGCCTCGGTGCAGCAAATACCTGTGATGACCACCATGATCAGGAAGAAATAGAAAAGATGAAGCACCATATTGAAGAGTTAGAAGCACAGGTGAGTTAGCATAGTTATCCTGATTAAGAACCAAATTTTTATTTTTGACTGCTGAGAATTTCAGGACTGGAAGAAATGGACAAAAACTTCCTACTGCTTGCCAAATATGGTGGAGTATGCAAAGTTTGACAATGATTGTACTGGTCTCAATGGAAAATGTAAGGGTGAGGGGGAAAAAGAAAAGTGCAAGATAGAGATTGGGTTAAGGTTTGAGGTTTTTGCAGCAATGAAGATTTATATTGTGATCTGTTTTATAAGACTACATACTATGGTAAACAGTTAGCAATGTTTTCAAGGAATCCCGCTGCTGAGACGAACAGGGTTTGGATTGATAATTGGGTTTATTGAATGCTTATAACTTGTAACTACAAATAATTTTAACACATCCACTGATCTACACACACTGCAGATAATTATAGCACATGCTAAGTCTCAGTCTGTTATAGTCTTCACTGGTCGTTGCTAGGTAACAGCTCCAAACAGTGGATATTCTCTGCTTCCATGCTAATGTCCCTACTGGCTTGTGACTGTCTCATAGCTCACTAACTCGAAGTCAAAGTCACATTACAACCCGTGGTCAGTTGGCCAGCAACTCTTGGTGTCAAGCCCCATCTGGGGCCCAAGACCAAATTTTTGTTGCTGTCAGACAGTTTCAGATTTGTCGATGTGAGGCACTCTCTGAAGAGAGGACAGGTGTGTCATTTACCACAGCCATAGTTTAAAGTCAGAATTACTTTACAGATAGTGGTTTACCACCAATCAATTCATTTTGGCTTCAAGCATCTTGAGGTCCACAACCAGAGTTTTTTTTTCAACTGAATCCTTGCCGTAATAGTCCTTCTGTAACATCCTCTCTGACAAGGAGATGGGTTTGTCTCTTATGAATATGCCTGGCATTTCGTCAAGTGTACACCGCACATATAGAATGTTACTGAAAATTCTTCCTTTTGCACTACACACAAGTCCTTTGTCAGTACAGGCTTTGCAAAGCAGATCATGCCTAACTTACTTATCTTATGCTACAATGGCAGCTTAGTCACTTGACCGGTCATAGTTGGACCTTTTGGTTTTTGTTATATAACTTCAACAGGAACCATATAGGAGACACCACTTCCAACAGTACCTCTATTGTTCCATGTGTATTTCTTGCCATGGACAAGTGTTCACCACACCATTGTCCAGCAATGACTGCATCTATTCATTCCACTATTGCAGCTTTCATGTAACAGTACTATAGCAACATAGTTTAGATTCATGGGATCCCGATCTTACCTTCTTCATGGATGGTTAATTGCCCAGGGCAGAATGATGTTCGGACACTTGGCCCTCATTATGAATTGCAGTGATAACTGAACATGTGGTTTATTTTCACATTTAATCTTGTAGCAATATATCTCATTAATAGTTATTGTGTTAGTATACTGACTGTAATAAGAATTTTCTGTGTTTGATTCAACATGCAGTTTTTTTCCCTTCCTTCCTTATGTGCTTAGGTTCAGCAACTGGAATTCACCTTACAACAGGAAACAGTTCATTCAAGTCAGTTAGAGACTGAGCTGCAGGAAGCACAACAAGAAGCTCAGCATGTTAGTGTACGATGCCAAGGCCTTGAATTGGAATTGAAACAGTGTGGCAACAAGCTTGAAGATCTGGTACAGGAACTGGATCAGAGAGGGCAGGATCTGGCAGGCTGTAATCTCCGAATCAGGACACTTGAAGAAGCACTGAGTGCCAAAGAGCCTGAAATTCAAATCAAGGTAGAATACATGTTAATAATTTCTACACTGCTTGAATGTTGCAAATGAAGATAAATGCAGTAAATCTTCTATTGAATGGAGGGTAGTTTTTGGACTCTGTTATGTAGAATGTAGAAAATAATTCTCAGAATCCATTATTTAAGAGCAAGCAGTGAACTTAGAATTGTTCAGCTAACACTTCCTGGCACCATAAATCTCCCATCTTAGGTGTCTCATAGTTAGTTACTGTTATATTTACTGTCTTGACCACAGGTGCAAGAGCTGTGTGAAAGGGATCGCATTATTGAAGAAAAACAGAGTCAGATTGAACAGCAGAACAAAGTCCTTGTGGAAATTCAAATCACACTGGATGAGAAACAGCGGCAGATTGAGGTTCTGAGATCATCACTTGCAGCCCGGGATTCATCTATTGCAGACCTGGAAGCCCGACTTGCAAAGGCAAAAGCTAATGCTCGTAATTTAGAGGCAAAACTGGATGCTTCAGTTCATGAAGCAAATAGACTTCGAGAAGAGGTAGTCCTTCTAATAGTATTGTGTAATATTCTGTTTAGATCATATTCTGCACATTTATGCTTATTATTGTTGTGTACATGTTCATAGTGTGTGAATTTCATTGTCTGAAACCAGTTTTACAGACTTCACTTTTGCTGGTTGATTATAATTTCCCATAAGTGAAATAAGTATAATGTAAGTGACTTGTAAATCTTCCATGGCTATGTTTAAATTGTAACTTTATTAATTTTCTAGGTTACAACATTAAAAGCTCAGCAGAAGCGCATTAACAATCGCAGTCGAGAACATATGCAGCAAGAACTTGATTTACTTTCACCCCTAAGGCGTAGAAGCAGCAATTTATCAAGTATATCAGATGACCTTGCCTCTCCAGGAAGACGGGTTCGTCAGAGTTCAGAAGATGATCATGTTGTAAGGAAACATTTGTTGGGACTGAAAGAAAAGGAAGAGAAGCTGAAAACTGCAGAAGAAAGCAACAAAGAATTAGGAACACAACTTGAAAAAGCTCGGCAAGAAACAGAAGCTTTGGAAGAGAAAGTGAAACAACTAGAATCTGCGAGGCAGGATGCTGAACACAAGCTTCAGGAGACTGAAAAGAAGATGAAGGACAGGGAGAGTAAATCAAACAAGTTTGAGGAAGATTATATTAAAGCTTGCCAGGCAATTAAAAGTTTCCTGAAGCGGACAAAGGAGATGGACCAAGAAATTAATAAGCTCAAATCAGAGTTGAAAAGAAGAGATGAACGTATTCATGACCTGATGTCAGAGGTGAATGAATTACAGGATGCCTGCAACAAAGCCAAATGGGAAGCCCATCAACTGCAGGCACAGGCGCAGGTGCCTGGTGGTGGAATGCCAGGAGCTTACGAAGATGTTCGTGACATGACCGAGGAGGAAAATGAGGTATGAATGTTTATAATGGACAGTGATTTGTAATCTGTTACTTCACAGATGTATTGTGGTTCTTCTGTGCCTTAGGAATATGAAATGCATGATTCTGTCGTTGATAACTGTTTCCTCTGCCCTGTTATAGCTTGAGATTATAAATAATTTAATTCACATGATACAACTTTTGATCTTCAGCATGATGCATGAAATGCAGACATGAGTGGATGAATGAACAAATGTATAAGGGGTGGGCCTTTTCGGCCCTTGCACCGTAGTTCCATTAGTAAGTGTTGGAGGTGATAGGTTATGTATGCACCTCTTTATCCTATTCTGTTTATAGTAAGGACACTAGGTCACACTGTATGTACTTCCTTTATGGAGTTTGATAACCAAAGAACATATTAATTGTATTAAAAATGAAGTTCATGTTTAAACACATTTCCGCTGGTTATGGGCCCAGAATTGCACAATAAAGAATAATGTTAATAAAGTGAACAAAATGACATATATTTTCGTTGTATGACTCTGATCTGCATGATAAATAAAGTTTTGCATTGGCAGCGTGAGAACAAATGAACAAACATGGCAAAAATCTGTGAGAAAGTGAGCATCACATAATAAAACAACTCAAACTATTATCTGTGGAAATTTAAAATGCAGATGATTCTTAGGTGTGATGGTGTATGGGACAATGTGAACTTGCTGAAACCAGCATCATATAAATTACCAGCAGACTGGGATCAGCGGTAAATCCATGGCAGTAATTGGCCTTGCAGTCAAAGCCAGCCAACTTATACACCTCTTACATTAATGTCAGCATGTGAAATGTGGTTGAAGCTACAAAGCATTCATGAACGTTTGCCGATGTGTAGTAAGCTTAATAAGGAAACTGTATTCAGTGCGTTTCACATTGGGAACAATGACCGCACATATAATGACTACGTTAGAAATCATGACTCAGCTCAGGGGCATAGGAAAGAACGTATTGACGAAGATGTGATAGGACCATTGTTACCTGAATCTCACAGCACACTAGTTACTGCCTTAGAGGGGCAACCTAAAGAAGATTTGACAGTGGATTTACACTTGGAAAGCCTATTGACAAATACAGTCAACATGCTGAAACCACCAATTTAAATTAAGTTGCAACAGTAGCTGCAGCCTATAATTTAAACCCTTCACCAGACATTATTAGGACTATCAAATCAAAAGATGATGGTAGTGAATATTTAGTTTCATAAAAGTGCAGGAAATTTCGTCATTATCTCAGCAACTATTAGCTTCTCAAGGAAGACTGCTCTACAGAGTTTATGATAGCATGTAACTGTTCTGGTGTTTGTCTGTGGCTATTTCAAGTACAGTGAAATTTCGTTAATATTGTCTTCATAAATATAGCATAATGGAGTATGGAAGTTTTCTTTTCTTCAGATTTTGTATTTAGGTTTTACTATCACTTTGAATTCAGTATTATTAATATTCATTTCCACTAGTTATCTGAAACAATGGTGTTTAAGGCAATAACTGACAATTTTCACATTTTTTACACTTTCGTGTTTGCTTTGCTTGCTTGAAGATTTAATATAATAGGAGCATGTTCTGTTCAAACAAGAAATTAAAAGAATGTATCTTAACAGTGTGATCTGTTATTTGGTTTTATTATAAAGTTTGAATTTAGGGTGCATTAATACAACAAGTGCCAGCTTTGCTATATGTTTTGTCAAGTCAAAATGTTGCAAATTAAGATCCAACAAAAATGAAGGTCATTTTTATAATTTTCAACTTTTATACAGTGAACTTTACATAATTTTAAGAGAATGAATTGTACTATACTTATTTTAATATTCAAATGATTATAACTGAAAACCATATAAGCGAAACAAATTCTTCAAAATATATCTTATTATTATTATTATTGATAAGATTTTGAAAACCTCTTATTTTAAAAGAGCTGCATGGGACCTGAAACCGAAAATGCATGAACAGCTGCTTACTGTTTTAGGAATTTCTGTGTATAATTTTATTATAAAATTTTCATAAACAGTTAAACAAACACGTTTGTATTCGTTCTAGTTTCCAGTGGTGTATGTCCTTAGTCACCATATCTCACTTTCAGACACTGAATCAGTACTCCTTTCATTTTCACTATCAATAATGATATTTTCAGTTTCATTGTGTTCAGTATTACTAAGATCATTTCCTCTTCTCACAGTATCTTCAAGTTATCTCCATATTTTCTTTGCTAGGTACCATTTTAAGTTAATCTTATTTCATGGATAAATAACATATACAAAAACTCCTTAAGGACTTCATATTTATGAAAAAATCACTTTTTTTTTATATGTGGTTAAGATAAAGTGCCACTAGATGTCTCCCACATAAGATTGAAGATTCCAACTATAAGCTCCTGTATGATTGAGTAGATAATATTCAATACCATCTACATAAAACATTTAAAATGGGAAAACATCTTGTCATTGTTTATTCTAAAAACATTTCATGGTAACATTACTGCCATTGTTGTTTTCTAATTGTGTAATTAGATAAATAGTAAAGAGAATTGTACAGGAAACCTCCATTAATTCAAATTTTAAGTCTCACATCATAATACTCGGTCACATTTGTAGAGTTGATAGGATTACAGTCCATATGCAAGTGTGGAAGCATTTTCCACCTCCTTGTATTACTAGCAGAAATTCATTTATTTCATAACATTTAGATTGGGAAATGCTCAGGTACTGCAGTTTTGTGGTAGTTATGTTTAATGTTCAGTTAAATGAAATACATCAGTTGCAGTATTTCCACTTGTTTCTCACCATGATTGTTGAGGTAAAGAATCATTACTGACAGTTAAGCACTCTTTATTGCTGTACTATTGAATAAAACTTAGTTCTCTTGGTGGAAACACTCACACTAAAGCAAGCTTAATTCTTCCGTGTCCTAGTTGAAGATAGCAGATTGATTAATCAAATATGGTATGCTCAACACAGAATATTGCAGCACGACTTAAAGAAAATAATTTCCTTTTGGCTTTTAGGCTGTAAATTGAATTAACATAATTTTACTGTTCATTTATAATAAGTATTAATCTTTTATTTTATACTTCTGTTTCATTTATCCAAGAGGGAATTTAGGTTTGAGATTTGAGGAACTGGGTACCATCTGAATGATGTGCCACAGAAACAATTCGTTTAGTGGGGGGTGGAGTCCACTTGGCACGACAGCTACTGACTGGCCTATTGTAGCCTGCCCAGGGTGATTATGATGATGGAGAATTTGGTGGAATGAAGACTGGCAGGGGAAACCAAAGTACTCGGAGAAAACCCGCCCCAGCGCCACTTTGTCCACGACAAATCCCACTTGACCAGACCTGGGATCGAACCCAGGATGCCGGCGACTAACCGCTTGAGCTGTGGCGTGGCCTTCAGCCACAGAAAGAATATGACATTTCTTTGTCATGGAAATATCCATTTTCTTGTATCATGAATCTAGACATTGGACTGACCAATTGAATGCCATATTTAAAACCAGTCAAATTACTTATATTGTGGTCTTCTGGGTTATGACATCATGTAGTCCCATAGGCAGTGTCATAGCCTAAAACACAATCTAAATGTTCACCTCAGTGGAAGCTGCAGATCTCATGTATAGGACATATATTGATAAACAACATGTTTTCTAAAATAGGAATTGGATGCATTTCAGATCAGTCATGCCATTTTGTTTCAGCGGCTTTCATAAAAACAACAGCCTTAAGCCCCCTATGCACACACAGTTTGGCCTTCCGATCAACCTTACAGGCAAAACTGTGACAGTTTACCCCCTCCCTTTCCTCCCCATACACGCACAGATAAAGCGGCAGGCTTCATGCCACAATCACGGTCTTCCAGCCTATAATGTTGAGTCACACACGTCATGTGCTACGGTCCTGCAGGCAGAACTGACGGACTGACGGGTTTCCCACAGGCCAACAGTCCAAACGATTGGCTGGCCGGCCGCACCACACAAGTCAGCTTTGCCTTTCAGTCTTCAACTGTGCAGGCCAAACTGTGTGTGTATAGGGGCCCTTACTCCCAAATTTTATAGGAACAAGAGGTTTGAAAAAGAGCCAAATTTAAGAACTGATATTTATATTTTACTAAAAAAATATGTCATTAGATAGAAACAAAACAACATTATTAGTAATTTCATTTTTCAAATTATATAATGACTGCATCATTTTCTTCAGTCATGAATGTGACTGGGATCAGGCTTTCAGTGCAAATAGAACACACATTATCACTAGAAGAATGAGACGTGAGTTCTCTGTTCAGTTTGTCTGTATTCTCTTGATGAGAAAGATTAGGGAAGGGGGTCTGTGGAATTAGTGACACCCAGCACATGGTCCCTATTACCAAAAAGTTTGAGAAACACTGCTGCAAGAAATAATATTATTAGCAGTAGTTGAATGCCTAAGCTTTATTTAACCTTACTTACTTATGGAGCTGAGCCCTTCTTGAGGAGATGCCAAATCTGCAGCTACTCAAGACTTTCCCAGCATTTTATGGAACCCGAAGGTTCATTACTGTGTTCAAGAGCCCTCCCCTGGTCCCTATCCTGAGCCAGATGAATCCAATCCATACCATCCCATCCTATCAAGATCCATTTTAATATTGTCCACCCACATATGCCTTGGTCTTCCCAGTGTGCTCTTTCCTTCTGGCTTTCCCACCAATATCCATTCCTCTTCTCCCCTATTCGTGCTACATGCCCTGCCCACCTCATCCTCCTTGACTTGATCATTTAAACTTATTTATTTATTGTACTCTATGCTGTTTTTTTATGCACGGATGTTCATATCTTGAAGATCAAGTGCATCAGTCTCCATTATCCATCCATCCTTCATTCATCCAGATAGTAAAATATTTGGGTGTCTGTTCCATGTTTTAGTAGATTTTGTTCACGAAAGTCTAGATGCAGACATTTTATGAAGCTGCTTTATATGTTACTTGAATTGTTGTCTTTGTTGTGTACATGCTTGCAGCGATTATGGGCAGAAGTGGAGGACAAAAACAAGAAACTGGCTCAGTTAACAAAGGAGAGAGATAATCTGTCCACTGAGATGGAGAATCAGGTTCAAGTGAGTTTCATTTTATTGTTCTCAGGGTAATTGTAGGCTTAGCAACCTCAAATATATACAACTCTGGTTTTGTATTAGGCAGGAATGTGAAACGTGGCACAGTGCATCCTCAGGTTTTGTTATGAGTGTGTGATCCTATTGTAACATAGCAAATTTCCTAGTCACAATCCTGTTCTGTCCAAATCATGCTAAGCACATCACCATCCATTTGTTTTGTGTCTCATGTAATCCATATCTTCAGTGTTTCATTGACGTTTCAGCATGTGTCTAAAAACATTTTCTCACAATTTGAGGCATGCCTAGAAGCAGAGGTTATGTCACTTTGAAACGCATCTAAAAAAATAAAGTAATTTAAACTACAGCTGAAAATAATGCTATAAATTATTATCTACTGCAGCAGGCCCATGTGAGAAAAGTGCAGTGTCATCTGTGGGAACCAATCTAATGATAACCTGTCCACCCTGTATGTGTGTGGTAAGATCTAGGTCTTCCAGGCTGTAACCCAGTGCAGTTTGGTAGATAGATACCAACTGGGTGAACCTGCTGCCTTCACTTAAGGATAAAAGGAGGAAGCATGTAAATGTTACAGATGTACAGATGTAGGGGAGGGAAGACTGTCACCACAGCTGAGAGTGAGCCAGTAGGAACAAGTGAATTTGCAAGCGGAAGATGTCAACAGAATAAAAATCAGAAGCATTGGAAGAAGGAAGATGGATAAAATGATAAATATATTGACATGTGTTAGTGACTAGACTTGGGGTTTGGATTGGTAATTGGATTTATTGTACACTTATGTCTCATAACTACAGGTAGCTATAACACTTTCACAGATCTAGACACGCTACAGATCACTACTTCAAATATTAGAATTTCTCTGTCTTCGCCATGCATTGCTACATAACAGCTCCCACCAATGAGTAATCCTCTGCTCCCATCCTCATGTCTTTACTAGGAGACAGCTGGCTCACAACTAACTCATGACATAAACTAACTGATGTCAAAGTCAAAGTCAAGGTTACTTTACAACTGCCAATCCCCTTAAGGCTCATGGCCAGGTAAATTCTTTCCTGTCAGTAGTTCCAAGGTGATGATTGTGTATATTAAAATATTTGTTGTTTCTTTTGATCTAGACCTTGCTTACAAGGTTAAAGGACAAAGAAATGCTCCTAGAAGAGTACAAAGAGAGAGCTGCAACATCTGTGAATGAATTAGAATCTCGTGACAACCGGATCAAGGAATTAGAAGAGGATTTGAGTCAATTGAGAAAGGCATTAGAAACATCACAGCTAAAGGTGCATGATTTGGAAGGAAAGGATGATGGAAAAGAAATATCAAACAATATTCCTGTTGTAAGGGAAAGCAATAATAGTTCCTCGCCTGAAGCATTAGTGCTGCAGCTGGAAGGCAAGAACCGAGAGGTTGAAAGACTCAATGGAGAATTACGGAAGCGGACCAACAATCTCCAAGAACTGGTAAATAGGGAGCTCTGGGACAAGAACCGTGAGATTGAAAATTTGCAGGATCGCATTAATAGTATACGTGAGAGGAAGGATTTAGAGATTATGTCCTTGCAGGAACAAGTAAGTTCCCGTGACTTCCAGCTTAAGATGTTGCAGGACAAAGTGGCTGAGCTAGGAATACGTGTAAACTTCCCAACATCACTTATGATGAAGGAGCTTCAGCAGATACCAGTCACCTTTAATCATCATGTCCATTTTCAACAGCCTTCCATGTCAAGCGGGATCACTTTAAGAAATGAGGCAGGAGATGTGTGTAGAGAGGACTTTGGAATTGCAACAGGATCTTCAACCAGCTGTACTCCTAAGGATGAAATGTCATGCCTTCGTGATCAGCTCCAGGTCAGTGTTGAGGAAAGGAAGTACCTGTGTTGCAAGGTGGAGGAGTTACGTGAAAGGCTGCGTAACACACCGGAAAGGGACAGTGACAGCCGTGCTCTGAGATCTGAATGTGCCAGGCTAAGAGAGGAAATAGACAGAGTAAATGCTTGGCGAAAGGAAGCTGGAGATGCCTGTGCATTGTTAACAAAGAGATTAGAAGAGTTAGCATGGTTTCTCAGTTCACTTCTTAGACATCCAGAGCACTTAGGTGGTTTGAGTGCGAAACATCGGCAGCTGCTCAAGGAAGCTGTTGATCGAAGCATGGAGGTATCTCGATCTCTTTCTGTGTCACTGTCTATTAATAATCCAGATTTTACTAATGCCTCTCTTCCTCCCCTGCTGGATTCTTTTTCTAGCCTCCTAATGTCTACCAGTGATGTAAATCTCAATATAACAGATCTTTTAGGAGTTGAGGGTGAAGATGAAGGTGAAATAAGCAACAATAATCGTGCACAACAGGAGAATTTAAAATCCTTTGGTACATCAGCATGTGAGACAACCTTGGCTCCTAATAGGCAGTGCTTCAGAAGCAGTGGCAGAAACAGAGAAATTGCTCAAATACAAGGGATAAAGGATTCAGCTACATCAGAAGATAATTGTGCATCAAGAGATAAGATTATTGGAGAACAAGCCCAACTGATTGCCCAGTTAAGATCCCAGGTTGAAACACTAACTCATGAAATAAGACAGAGGGATATAGAATTCTCCAGGTCACAGAATAATGGATTAAATATTTGCAATAGAACCGAAGTTGCTGCAGTATTGTTTGAGCCAAGAAGCGGAAGTGCTAGTCCCAGAAGACATTCCAGTGCAAGCTCAGGACCTGTGTTGAAATCTAAGACTGAAACAGAAAGGCTTCTGGATGTCGAAGAAACAGAGGAGTTGCTGTCTTCAATGACATTTTACAACAGCCAGCATCTGAGTAGCAATGTCGGTGAAGACTCAGTGTCACCTGAGAGAAGGGCTTTGCCAGAAGAATTGTCAAGTTCACATCAGGAGAAACATACAGATGTTGCAAAAAGATCTGTATCATCACCAGTAAAATCTACTAATGCTGCTGGAGAAGTTGGTGTACAAGGTGTAACTGTGGCTTCAGGGAGAGCTGTGCTGAAAAAACAAGATCACTCAAACAGTACAAAGTCTAGCTATAGAATGCGCCGTAGTTCCAGTGCTAGCACAGTTGCACTGAGTCAGCTACAACAGTCTATCCATCATCATGATGTTCATGCAGGAAGCTTGTCTGAGTCTGAGGCATGGTCAGAGCCAGACAGAAATGTATCACTGGCAAGAATTGGGCTGAAGGAGGAGTCAACCAAGGTGGTACTGTCCCCTAGAACAGGTGTCAGTGGTTGCACTCTGATTAGCAGTGCTAGACCTCGTAATGATAGGATCATCCAGGAGGAAACTGACACGTCTGAATCACCAGAGGAGACAGCTCATGAAATCAGTAGAATTCAAGGTATGGGCACTCATTTTTACTAATTTAATTTTAATGCTGTTTTACAGTATTTTGGCAAAACTAGACTATGAGAGAAGGTCTTGGGTTATCATTCTGCAGTCTCTTACTCCCTTGTTCCCTTTTAGGAATTCTGTATGTAAGGCATGTAATGAAAAATGCTTTACTAAGTGGTGTCAGTTCCCTCACATGTTTCAGTTCAAAAATTTATTTGGATTGACATGTTATTAGATTGTATTTCTTCGGATTTGACTAAAATTTTGATGTGGGGGAACATCACTGCACGTTGCAGAATAAATTTAATGTTAGTCTATAAATTCCACACTTATAACAAAAATTAATTTTTTGTTATATTTAATAAAATATACACTGAACTGCAAATTGTTTCAAATAAATGATATAGATCTTGAAATCCAAAAATTTGTGCAAGTGGTATAATAATGGAATGATCAATGTTTTGGACGTTATCCAGCACTGTAATTTTATTTGAGACAATGTTTCAGAGTCTGTTCTGTCTCCATCCGTGGGTAAAAAGCTTAACCTCTTGGGCTAGTCCTATTTCCAGACATTCAGAGGTAAGGTCTACCTCTATCATCAGGGGCCAACAGAATAGGCTTGTTACCTGAGGACACAGACAGAGCCCAGTCTCCAAAACATCACCTCAAATAAAAATTACAGTGACGGATAGTGTCAGAAATATTGATCATTCCATTATTTATCTTATTTGGTCTTCTTTTGCTTTACACTCCCTCTTAATTATTAGCAGTGTTCTGAGAAATTTTATGGAATTTTATTCGACTATTAAGATTACAAATGAGTGGTGTGGTTATGAATCTTTTTAGTCACGTAACATCTTCAATATTAATATTAAGCATGAAGATATAGTAACGTAAGCTTATTGAGAGACATTTCCAATCTATTTAAACTTATATTCAGCATTGGAAATATGTGGGTAATATTGAAACAGCACAAATTCTTCCTGGTTTTGGCATCTGTAGTTACGGTCATTGATAAACTGTCAAGTATGCTCAAAGACTTTGTATAAAACAATGGAGCAGTTGTTTTCTGTGAGCACTGAAAGCCTTGATTGCTGAATTTCTCTATTCAGAAAAGAAACTCCAAAGCCTGTGTTAATTGTTTATGCTTCTGGGAACAGTTACGAAGATTTTTCTTACAACAAAATCCTGTATATAACATGCATGATTCTGAGATATACCCAGTAGTGTTAAATTCACATTGCAGATAGCTATCCCATTGATGGCGTTAAAATTAACTAAAAGGCCGAGCTTAGATTTTTGATGATAAGACTGGAGAGCTGTGTGTACCAAGAAGAGCTGTGAAGTAAGTAATTTGATGCTGCAGTATCAGGCACTTAGTTTGTAGAATAACTTATTTTCTTGCATTATATAGGTAAAAGGGGAAAAAATGATTCAGGAGAAGTGAGAAGACTGCAGAATCGGTTAAGGGCACTGGAGCAAGTAAATGATGCATTGAGAGCAGAGATGACCATCCTGCAACAAATGGCTCCACCACTGCTTCCCCCTCCAGCAGAGACCAATGATAAACCATCTGCTCATGGCATGAGCATCAACACTAGCCATATATACAAAAAGAAACTTGACAAATCAACAAATATTGAGGTATGTAATGAAAGTGACAATGATCACATAGCAATAAGAATGACAAGTAAAAGAATTAGTGGCTGATCTTTGTAATACTGGGTTCTAAAAATACAAGTGTTAGTTAATTATATTTAATGATAATGAAGCTGAACTGTTGTGTCATTTCCACAAGTTGCTGTAGAAAATTTAAATATTGAAGATTCTTCAACATAACTTCTTCATATATAAGGAATTCCAGATATTAAAATGTTAACAAAAATATAAAATTAAGTTCTCTTGGAAAGGATCCATTCTGGTTTTACAAGCAAGTGTTGCTTGATTTGGTAAATTTGTCATGCATTATGTAGGACAATTTTGTGTTTTACGTTGGTTTAAACAATTTTCTGATTTTACCAGAACCACTTTACTCTTTTCAAAGAAAATGTTAGCCAGATCTGAAGGTTTCTGATGATGGTGTAGTCTTTTTAACTGATATTTCGGTTATTACAGACTCTGAGTTTGAGATTAGCTCTCCCAGTCTGCCTAATGGAGTAGGAATCCTTACTTTGATCTGTCCCTTGATGAGAGCAGGACCATCTTCTGAAGTGCTGTGCTCTGAAGTGAATGTGACAACAGACAGTGTCTAGTCCATCAGTCACTAACAAAGCTAATATTTCCATAAGTAAACCTACCATCTGGCATATGTGAATCTTGTGCAGCTGCACAGCTGATTTCTATTTTCCATTTTCTATTTCTGTTTAATAATCATTCTAAATTTTCACTAGCAATATGACTGGACAAACAGAACAAGCAGGTGAATAAAATTTTCATCAAATGAAATTCGGAATTTGGAAATTCTAAACAAGGGTTGCCAGTTCTACAGATTTGTTTGAACTAAGTGATACATTCCATGGAGTAGAGTGCTTGAGAAGCTGTTATTTTCTCAGCTACTTGAGAAATGGCCTGCCTTTTATGGAACTCAGAGCTCGATTACAATTTTTACTAGGGCCTTCCACTTTTCCTTGTCCTTAGCCAAGCAAATCAGGCCCTCCCTTCATTTATTTAAGACCCATTTTAATATTATTCTCCTGTTTGTGCCTCTGTTTTCTAAGAAATTTCTTTTCTGCACGTTTTATGACCAAATTTTATCTCCACTTTTCTTCTCTCCCATGTGCGCTACATGTTCCACCCATCTTATCCTACTTGATTTGATTTTCAATGGTTATTTATAATAGTTATTAGTACTGTATATACTATTCCCCCCCCCCCCNCTGGCACTCCAGCCCCATGGGGCCTAGGCCTACCTCCATGAACTTCTCCGTTCACTTACTAATCATTACTCCCTATATTATCATGTAACTTTCTCTTACAAAACATTATTTATATATTGATGCAGCAACTTGAAGGTATGGAAGGAAGTAATGTCACTTCTGTTACCATCCCAATTCACTTACTGGAGCAAATCCGTTACCAAAGGGAGAAGCTGGAATCTTCTCTTTATCATAACGACTTCATTCGACGCCAATTAGAAGGCCTCATATCGAGCTTAAGCAGTCAAGGTGGTGATAATATGATGAGCCTCTGGCAAAAGATGAAAGAGACAGCTGAACAGTTTGAGGAGGCTCGTCACCAAAATCAGGAGCTGGAAACACGGCTGCAGGAAATGGAAGTGCAGTTGGAAGAGAGCAAAGAGAAAGCCAGGCTTGCTAATGCTGCCACTGAGCAGCTTCAGGTAAGGTAACATGGGTTTCAACCAGTTCTTAAATGTTATGTGGCACAGTGGTAGTCAAAGTATGGCGCTGTGGGTAGTTGTAGCCCTTGAAAATGATACATATTGGCAAAGGAACTAAGTGGGAGGAGGGATTTGGGGTGGCTATTGAAAAAGTGACATGATACTGTAATAGACCACAAGGTTTAGTACCTGACAGGAAATGATGACCAAAGAAATAAAATAAACTGAATGTAATTTATATCACAGTTGGTGTAGGACTGAAATTAGTTCCTATTGGAATATTGACTTATGACAGAATAATGTCTAATTCCTCTTTCTGTTTGAAATTAATGATAAACAATGAAATCCACTTGTAATTTTTCTTTGCAGAATTCAGGTGATGTGTATTTTTCTGACATTGTTCCATCTACAGCAGCACAGTTGTTTCAGGATTTAAATAACTCATTATTTTTTGGCTCTTATGTATATTGAACTTCTGACCTGCATGGCCTTGAAGCCATTTTAACTAACCACAGGATATGACTAAATAGGCTAAAGTGTAAATTTCTAGTTGTTTCCCTTGACTGTGCCTGCAAGTCTGACTAGATATTTGGATGCTGTGGTTTAACTACTGAGTATTTAATTACCTTCCAACTTCATTTGTTTCAGGTGACTCAGCAAACAGTCTCCATCCTTCAAGAACAGATATCTAGTCTTGAATCTCAACTCCAGGAGAAGGATAATGAGATATTAGAGAGAAAGTGCCTAATGTTGGAACTTGAAAACCAAACAAAGCAACAGAGCATAGAGACAGAAAAAATGGTGCAAGAAGCTGTCAGGTTAAAAGAAGAAGCTGAGAGACAGATTCTGGCTGCAGGAAATATGAAGTTAGAAGGCGATAATAAGCTGCAAGAGGCACAGAAATTAATTACAGAAGCAGAGAAAACAAAACTTGAGGTTGAGGGCCAGTTGATAGAAATAAAGAAGAAAGCTGAGAATGCCAAGCTCCAAATAAAAGATGCTGAAATTAAGAACATTGTGTTACAGATAGAAAAAGAATCAATACTAAGAGAAAAGGAAATAATACAGAAAGATAAAGAAATAACACAAAAGGAAAAGAATACAGTTCAAGAACACAAGGTGACAGTTCAAAGAGAAAAGGAAATTATTGAGGAGGAGAGGAAGGCACTTCAAAAGCAAAAAGAAACTATGCAAAAAGAAATGGAAGAACATATGGAAAAGGTTGAATCATTAGTGCATGATGCAAAGAAACAGAAAGAAGAAGCAGAAATGCAAATAAAGGCAGCAAAGAAGAAAATGCAGGAGGCTGAGTTACTGAAACAGGCTGCAGACAGGAAGCTAAAAGCAGCTGAGGAAATGAGCATCCTTCTAGAGAAACACAGCAAGGATGCACTGGATATGAGAACCAAGGAGATGGAAGTCCGACTAACCCAGCAGCTCTCTGAAGAGAAGAAGAAATTGCATGAGAAACAATGTGTCAACATGGCTGAAATGGAGAAGAAAATACATGAAGCTGAGGAACTAAGACGGGAGTTTCACACAGAATTACAATCCCGGATAGAAGAAGCACAGAAACAAGAAGGAGAAATTAGAGCAGAAGCAGACATGAGAATCAAAGATATTGAGGAAAGAAGCAAGGTAATTCTGATAATAGAGAAATATTTTTATTTGTAATTTTAAATCAACCTGTATCTTCCCCCCCCCCCATTTGTGTTTGTTGATGTTGGTGGCAAGTGTTAGCTCTTGGAAGATCAGCATTATTTATTAGGTGTATGCACGTCTTGAATTTTTAGATAAAATTGATTCAGACATGGATTTTGCAATCTCTGACTTTGATATGTTTCAGATAACTGCTTTTGCTTTATGCAGTGGTATACAAACTACCTAGTGCATCACAATCATAATGGTTTCCAATATTAGCATGAATTAATTTGATTACATCAAATTTAGTTGACTTCTAGACCTGCCCTTTATGTCATTTATATTGAGTGCAGAATAGCATTATTCTTTATGCTCAGGAACGAGAAATGGAATTGAAGAAACGTCTGCAGGAATTAGAAAGGTGCTGTCGAAAGAAGGAACGTGAGCTTATGAGGCAGTTGGATGAAGTTACAGTAGCAGCATCACAGGCAGCATTAGAACGAACTCGTCTTGCTAATGAGAAGTTGCATCTTGAGCAGGAGCTCCGTCGACATGAGGCACGAGAAACTGAGTTTGTTCGTGAGAAGAAGGATAGTGAAAACTGTCTTCTTGTTGCTAAAGAACAGTTGGAAAAAGAGGTATATCACACTGTTGTGCAAAAAAACTTAAAGAACCTTTCTCTATCTGTCCTTCTTCATTAATTGGAAATCTTTGTATTGAATTATAACGAGTGTTGTATTGTGGATTATCTTTGTAATGTAGAGGTCTTTCATATAAAGATGTTCATAAAATAGAAGTTTTACTATCTCTGATAATTTTCTTCTCTTTGTTTGGAATACAGATGTTGGTACTGCAACGACGAAACGAAGACCTTGAGAAATGTGTGAAGGAACTAGAGGCATCTAATTTAGAACTCAAGATGCAGTTAGACAGGCTACACATGAAAGAACAACCATCATCCCCTTCAGGAGGTGTGTTAATGTTAAGATCATTCGTGAAAACAAATTCTGAGAAACCGTGATTACATTTATATGACTAGTTAATCTTCATTTGACACTTTTGCTAAGTTGGGCCTTGTATGTCTTTTAAGTAATCAGATATAACACTGAAAGTTAATGTTGTCAACATGTTTGTAATTTTCAACGCAAAAGAATGTCGTGTACAGTCTATGTAGGCTTTTAATCCATTGCCATGCCTATTTCATGACTTGTTCATTACAGTGAAATGTTAATATAAATATAGAGTTAGGTTATTTTACCTTGTCCATAGAAACAGAATGTAAAACAGCATGAATGTCATTTAGGATTTGAGGTTCTCACAGCGGTGGTTATAAAGAGTTTTATCTTCTGGATATAAAGCCGTTGAAAGTCAACTTCTGCTTTGGAGGAAGATGTTGACATCATCTTCATTGGTTCTCACAGCGGTTGTTATGAGGAGTTCTATCTTCTGGGATATAACACCACGTAGTTCGCTGAAATTCAACCGATGCTTCAAAGCAACATGTTTCCTCCATCTTCATTTCTGGAGCAGCTTATTCTTTGAACTTGAAGATGGAGGTGACGTGTTCCTTTGAAACAGCATGATATCCCAGAAGAGAGAACTCGGTATGAATTCTGTTAAATGTTAAACTTTGAAGGATAAACTGTCATAACAAAGTTATTAGTCATGATCTGAAGATAGAAATACAAGCAGTAAGACTGGCATAATGACTATGCAGAAATATAGACATGTGTTATGCATGGATGACAACAGGAACTAATTGAGAGAACAAGTAACTAATGTAACAAATAAATTTGTCATCAGAAAGGGGAAGACTAAGCAGAGAGACTATAATTATCCGCAGTCCCTCTCTCGCCAAACAGAAGAGAAATGATTACAGTGGTTTGGTCATGTAAAAATAATGGGCGGATTAAGTTTACCAAGAAGGCAGTAGAATTCAAACATGAAGGGAAGAGAATGTGGGACAACCCAGAACAAGATGGTCCAGCCAGCTGACTAAACAGCTGGAAAGAAATAAAAAACAAAGGACTGTGGGAAGAAATAGAAGACAGGAGAGTTTTCATCCATCTACCTGTATAAAATGGTAACTGCCCAAGGAGGAGGAGGAAGGTGAACATTTGTAGGATGTTTTCCTATGATTCTGGTCCATGAAGTGACAGAGTTGGTGATTACTGCTGCATTGGGTTTTCTAGGACTTTGCTGACTGAGGCCCTCTGCTAGAAGAACAAAGCATCTGTTGAAATTAAACAGAGACCAATTAAGATGGGTAGTAGGACCATTTACAGGACACTGTCACCTAAAAGAACACCTTTTCAAACTGGGATTGACAGATGACCCCACTTGCAAAAGATGCCTAGAAGAAGAATCAGCCACACATACCCTATGTGATTGTGAGGCCATAGCTTACTTTAAGATCTTGTCAGCTGGGCCAGTTCTTTATGGAACCAAGTGACTACTATGATGCCCACATTTCATTTGAAGTGTAGGATTAACAAAGGGTTAATCAAAAGGGAAAGGACGATAGGTCACTGAAGGCTGTGCTGCAAGGACTGGATTATTATGGCCCACCCCTCATACATTAATTTATTCATTTGAGGACTCTGCTGTGTGGAGTTAATCAGGTTTGGGGCAGCATGCTTCAATTAATGGTTAACATAATTTTTTAGGTCCAGATGCTTCATCATCTCCAACTCACATGAAGGCTGGCAGAACGTCTCCTGGCAGTTACTCTTCTGGTCTTGACCTGCTGACGGGAGAGAGGGGTTCCCTTCCTAACAGCCCGTGGGGTACTACAGCTACAGTGTCACTGGAATACATTGGAAGCCAAAATGAAGATAAGGAACAGTGTAGAGACAGAAGCGGAAGGGGAAGTGACAGTGGCCGCAGCGAAGGGCTTACTGGTCTCTCCAGCCTGGTACATCATGGTTTTGGCAGACAGCATAGTGAGCTCTCTGACTACATGTCTGAGGACCAAGCTCTTGAAGAATATGGGGCAATATTCACAAAGGTGGGAAAATGACTTCACTGTAGGCTACTAATTCAGTTGGATGTTGACCCTATTAAAAGTTTCTGTTGATAACATTTTGACCAGTGCATAATTTTTTTCAGAGTGTCAACTGAATTGATATGTAGCAACACTGTATGGATATTCGTGCCTACAGGAGCCATGTGATTCCTTAACGTAGAAATGAAAATGTCCTGTGATAAAATTCCAACCAGTGCATAATTATCATGGACAGTGTGATTAAACTTGAATGCAGTATATATGCACAGTATGAATATTTGTGTCTGTGGACTTCACCGCACATTTTGTTGATTGATATTGATATGATATGCAAGCAATGCATAATTTTTGCAATTGAAGTTTCCCATACCAAGTTTCCCTATTGCATTTAACTTCCACAACATTTATGCAAAAATTATGCTTCAGTCAAAATTTTGTCAATGTTAAACTACAGCGTTTAATTTTTCCCAAATGATCTTGTTTAAACTAAGACTGCACAAATTATTTGAGTAAATACAACAGTATTTGTGAACAATTCCATGAACCAGGATGTCATCATCAGTTAGTGACATCATCATTAGAAAGTTAACAGATTCAATTTTCAACATACTTTCATTATTCATATACTAATGGGAAATTTAGACATACCAAAGTAACACTTTTCTTACCAGATGGGAGTGGCTACGTTTGGATGATGTAAGTATATACAGTATTATAAAATTATACCGATATATTGTGTTGCATTTATTGTGAATTACCTTATTGTTTTGGTTTATGAATATTATTATTCTTCTTCTATGGCACAACAGCCCGATGTCGGGCCTTGGCCTCCCTTATCAAGCCCCTCCATTCCTCTCTATCCTGCGCTGCTCTCTTCCAGTTCCTTACGCCCATTAACTTCTTTGCATCTTCTTCCCCCTTATGAATATTACTTTTCTAATATATGTGGCTCCATTTTGTAGTATTGCTCCATTCTCTTTGCTTTTAAAAATGTTTCTTGGTAAAGGTACACCATTATTTCAAGCCTTTACATTCTACCATAGAATGCTCTTTCCTGGTGGTGTCAATACAGTAAGTGGTTGACTGTGTGGCAATAGCTACAGATAACATGATTTCTTAACATTGTTATAGAAATTACTCTTATTTATTCACCAATTGCAATTGTTCTGAGTTATTAAGCTCTTTTGTTCTTTACTTCAGCCACTAGTGCCCGATGATGTTAGTGGTGGTGGTGGTGGTGGTGATTATAATGACGACAATGACAATGAGAACCAGTCATGTTTGTTCCGAGGAAGCCTTCTAGTTATGCATTAGCTGTTAGTGCCTGGAGAATATGTAACAAAGAACACATTATTACAAGGTGCTATTGGAAGGTTCCTGGACTAGGTCATAAAAGAAATGCTGACTTAATTTACTCAATTTTTGCTGCCGTTTCCTTCCAGATAGTTTCCTTGGGAATGTATACAGTGATCCCCATCGTTCCACGCTTCAAAAGCACAGTGGAAATCATTTTCCTTAATGCTGTCGAGTACTGCTTACGGTTTCCTTTGGATGTGAGACACTGTTTCAAAATGTTGTCCCTTCAGTTTCATTTTCAATTTGGAAAACAAAGTGAAATCACAGGGAGCTAAGTTCGACGAGTAGGGAGGATGGGTAATGATAACCATGTTGCTGTTAGTCACAAACTATGTGCATATAGGAATTTGGTTAACCATCAACACAACAAATATACTCGCTTTTAATGTTTTACAATTCAACTTTTTATTCCTGCTGCATGTTTTTGCCATACAAGACCATCATCGGGCAGTTATATATAGGAATGCGTTTGGTTATTGAACTACCGATGGATAAAAACACCTGTCTGGCTTAACATTCTCCAAAAGCCTCACAAAGCATTTCAAGGGTTTCAGTAGCGGATTTACCGAGCTTCACGCACAACTTGATGCAGACATGCTGCTCGATTTTGGCATCCATTGCAGACAAAATGAAACACGATGTCAAAAAAGTACTCGTGTAAAAACAGTGCATGTTCACAGCACAGTGTCACACGGCAGACTGATGCAATGGGCTTGCAGAAGTGTGACCTTGGCCTCCCAGCTCATCTTCCTTCTCCAAGGCAGTTACACCAGTAACAGTCAATGAACTTTCCAACAGTATATAACACACTCAACTAATCCAACACTGTGGAAATATACAAACCAGTGGTGCATATAAGAGCAAAGATAATAACATTACAACATCCATAAGAATTACACTAACCAACATGCAAAACACCAATACCGCAATAGGAAAGCACAAGAAGATATAACAAGTAATGCACTCAAACAAATATCTTTTATGAATGGATGATAAAAAATGATACACTAACATATCTGGAACATTCATTTTAAATACAGTATAATTGTTTTAACAAGACAAAAAGTTACCTGTTGATGACTAGGTACAGCCGAAACATGTAGCAGAGAAAAGGAGTAAATGAAAAACAAAGTTGCATTTGAGATGGAAGTATATGTGTGTGTAAGTGATGTGTATTAATATTAAAACAACGCTGTTTATCCAATACAGACATGCAGTAGTAGTTACTGGGTTAGAACACTGGCTGAGCAGCATTCCACATCATCTAACAGTGTTCCTGCTGATCCCTCTTCAATGCGCAACATCAACTCATCTCCAGATCTTGGAATTGAGAGTGACCAGGGACGCTTCTCTAGTCTGGAAGCAGCTTCCAGTGGAGTACAAATGGATACACCCAAAGTTGTCAGCTCCATGGAAGGATATCACTCTGATTTTGACCCTAATCTTACAGCTGTTGTCATCGATTCAAGTAAGTAATACTGCTACGACATGAACGATGGAATTTTTGTANAAGAATACACGGCGCCAAAACCCAGAAGACGACTTTCTTCAATGGAATTTTTGTTTGACATGACATGACATGAAATTTCATTGTTCCATTTTTCTTCCGATATGAGCTTGAAAGTTTCTTCTAGTCAAGTGTAGTCTCTCTCAACTATCCAGGGAGTATATTTTGTGGCACATCTCCATCACTCGATGCAAATTTTGGTTGTACTTTGGACTATGATCACACGTGATACAGATTCATAAATATCATCATACCATCAGCTTAATATTTCTAAGCTAAGGTAAAGGTAGGGTCATCCCTGAGCTTACTTAAGCATCATGCCATAAAGATATATTGGGGAGTGGAGGTATAGTTCCACCATTCTTTACCTCAGATGGACCGATTGGTCAGTTTCATGCCCCTGCCACTTGATACAGTACCCGTACCCATTATATAGGAGATTAGGTGGGCCCCAGAGCTGATCTGGACATTACAGAAAAGAAAAAAAATCTCTTTGTTTCTACTGGGAATCAAACCGTGACTCACGTGTTGGCCAGTCGACAGCCTAGTCCCTTTACTGACTGAGCTGTCGTGGCTCCAGTCTTTCTAAGAATCACTACAAAACTGCGTGCATAAGAAAGTTCTCTTACACAACTAAAACAATACAGTCTACAAGACCTTCATTCTTACAGTAAATATCATTTAACTGGCCTCAGTAAGTCAAAATATGCTTGATACTCATAATTAAGGTTAGAGCTGTTTCTCATATCTGCTGCTATTCTTTAAAAATAATGAAGCAGGATGAAAGAAAATAGAAGATGGAAAGAAAAAATAACAGTAATTTTGCTTCCATACTACTATATATATCTTAACTATAAGATAACCCTCCAGAGAGAGAGTTTTGAAAAAAAGTAACACTGATTTATGCAGGTTCCATTATCAGAACTGACTTTGTCACAAAGACTTGGATAGGTTGTAGCCTAATTCGAGGTACTATCCCATCATTTGCCTGATGCAAGTAAGGAAGCCCACAGTAACTGCATCAAGACAGCCAATCCCTGGCTGAATTTTGAAGCAGGAGTGCTAATCACGTGATCACTTTCTTTGGTTAGTAATGAGTACATGGAAGAAAATTTGAGAAAAAACATTACATAGAAGATGCTGAATGCTAATTGAACTGTTCAGAATCAGTTGGTAAAATGAAAGTGAATGTGTTAAAATTTGTGGTAAATCAGTAATTGCCTGTTCAGTGAAAAAACCTCAACAAGGTGTCAACTTAAATGGAAACAGGAGCCAGCCTTTATCTAGGTCTTGTCTCTTGCCATGTATCAGAGTGGCACAGAGGCACATTACCCCCCACCCCCAAATTTGGAAATTCTTTCTTCTGTGACAAAATAAGATTTTTGTTGAGATACAAGTCCTGCACATATGTAAGTTGATCTGCACCTGATTTCTGCCTTGTGATGTTACAGGATGTGATACAGCTTTCAGGCCTTACAAGGAACTGGAGCAAGAGAACATGTTGTTGAAGAGACGTTTAGCGAGAACACATCGTGCTCTTGAAGAAACTCTGACTCAGCTCACAGTGGCAAATCAAAGAAAGAAGCAGGTGGAACAAGCAATTTGCAAACAGCTGCATAAGACACATCACATCCTTAGGAGAGCTAAAGTCAACCTTAATGCACGATCAGCAGATGGTGTCACTCCATCTCTAGAGATGAAATAGTTGTCTTTTTTGTGTGTGTGTGTGTGTGTGAGTGGTTTGGTTTTCAGAATCATTTGGCAGCAGGTCATGTATTTCCTTACTAATCCATTTCTACTGAGTGGTCCTTTTATGGGAACAAATGAATACCCTCTGCCCCTAGCATCTGATGCTACGTACACAGATAATATGGCCTTTTGTAGTTATTTACAGCAGAGGATGTTCAACTTTCCTTACCAGAGGACTGCCTTGCATTACGATTCCATCCAACGTTCGTTCTTACTAACACCTGAGGAAACTGCCTCATTCCTTCACTTAAATTGGGGTCCAGGTGGTGTAGGATAAACTAATTTACACTCAAGTTGTGTAAAATATGTTAGATGGACAGATCATATGTGGTACATAAGGCATCATATAGATTGCGCCCTGCACTCCCTTTACTGAGGAAGGGAAAGAATTCAACAATTGGAATTGTGAGTTTTATCTTTCACCCAGTGAGACAACGATTCCTTCAAAACTTCCCCGCTGTGCCAATGATAGTATTAGATGGTGTTTCCTACTTATGTGTTTGAGTTGTAAGATTGGCAAATGAAGAAAGAAAAAGAATACCTGGTGGTTGTGGAAAGTGCAAATGTTTTAGTATTCTTGCAGAATAACTATTTTATTAGGTCTTAGATGACATAAGCTGAGTCACCCTTCAAATGCTGCCTATTAGTTTTGTAAAGTAGGTTGTTTAACATTCATGTATGAAGTTAGAACTGTAAATATTTGCTTGATTTTTATTTTGAAAAGAGAGTAAAACTTACTTTTTGATTGAACCTATGACTATAGATATATTTTCCCTTAACAACACAGAATGCATCATAAACATTGGAAGAAACGCTTTGTCATTCAAATATTTCTGACAATTATTTATTTGCAGATGCAAGGTAATAAATGTTTATACTTTAAAAGAAACTTTAAAACAGATTTCTATCCTTACTTGTAGGGATGCAGTTGGGCAATCAAGAATGCCATGTGTTCAGGGTTGTGTGACTATAGACAGAGTATGGATTGGTGAATGAATTTATTGACCACTTATACACACCACTCAGAACTAAACTATAGCACTATTGTTTGTCTTCACCAGCCATTTTCTGGCAATGGCTTGTAACAGTGGAGATACTTCAGCTTCATGCTCTCAAGTCCTCTTGTCATAGCTGTCCATGCAAAACTATTGTCAAATGTCAACTCAGCTACAGCACCATCTCCTTTCAGCCTCCCTTGCAGAGCTCAACTGATTGGTTGCCCCCAATTCTCTTCTATTTATAACCACTTCTATGAACCAAGTAGAAAACACCATTTCCAGCAGTAACTCTATCACTGTGTTCATATTCGTTGCTGTGGGAACATGTTTACCGATCGGTGTCAAGAAAGAGGTTGTGGCCACAACAATTCAAGACACTGTTAGAAACAATATTCTCCATAAGGTTTGTGTAGAGGCTATACAGGGGCTCAGAACCAAGAATAACTGTGCTGGCAAGACCAGCTGTAACTTATCAGTTAGTCAGCCAGTCAACAGCCAATGAGAGCCAGAGATAGCGGGTGATATCCAGTGAGCAGACAGTCGTGGCCACGAGGCGTGAGTTGCAGTTGAGAATCGACAGTTTGAGTAATGAGTCAGCAGTGAGACAGTGAACATGGAAGCTGAGGAATCTACACTGTTGAGAGCCTTAAGAGAACAACGGCTAATAAAGAAAAGTCGAGTGTGTGTGAATTAGCAAGACTGCTATTAGTTGTAGTTACGATTTCACTCATTCATCAGTAATCTGTTGGACAACAGGTCCACAGTCTCTTCCAAAACAGTTCCTCCACTTATAAGAGTTCAATAAATCCAAAACCCATGTCTAGTCCCTAACATGTGACAATATTATCATGTGTAGGGATCTGTGTGTGACTTATAGATGGGTTTTAGATTGGACGATTGGCTTTGTAGATACCTTATACCTTCAGAACTACAGGCAAGTATAGCACTATTGCTATTTCCACACTACACACACACACACACACACACACACGAGGTTCTCTCAGTCTTCACTAGCCACCACTGTCTATTTCATGACAATGGATTTTAACACAGGAACTGTAACAGTCTGACTGAANACACACACACACACACACACACGAGGTTCTCTCAGTCTTCACTTCATTACTTCATTACTTCTCATTACTCACTTCCAGTATCACTGTACTACAGCACACATAAAGTCTTCTCTTCACTGCTTGACGTTCAAGTCTCAACTGAACTGGATGCAATACTTCTGATGTCTCAATTCCTCTGCTGGTGCTCAAAACTGGTGCGCCATTGAACACCTTCAACTCCCTGCTCTGAGTCTGATATTATGACCAATGGTCAGTTGGCCAGTCTGTGTTGGAATAAACACCCACCTGGGGCTTATGACCAGATTTTTATTACTGTCAGACAGTTGCGGGTTTGTAGATGTGGGGCGCTGTCTCTGACAAGAGGTTGAGTCTGTCATTTACAATTGCTGCTGGCCCTCACCAGTTCAGTCATTTTCGAGTCTGAATCCCATGGCACTCGTGACCATATTTTACTGTCTCTAGGTATTTATCATTATTGTCTGATTTCAGCCAGAACTGGAATGTGTTAAAGAATTTAAGTGTGCATACAGCAACCGTAATTGGTGTTGGATCTCCGCTGTATGTTCATTTTATGCATTCTGAACAAAGAATACAAATCAAATACAAATAAGTTGACAGTGTTGAATATAACATCAACTTTTATACCGTGGGCCTTGTGGGTGAAACTTCAGAATATGTATTTCCAAAACTAACTGAATGTCATTTGTAGAAGAGGGGATACCTTACTTTATACATCCCCTGACCTTTGGATAGTGAAAACTGGGTCAAGCAGTTTTACCAAACCATTTTCATAATATAGGAGTAACAATGTATTAGTTCAATTCCTGCTAAATCTCTCCAGATTTCCATGCTTAACACATTGCTTGTCATGTGACACAGCATACTTTACGTGCCATTTTATCCACACACTAGAAACCAATTCAAATAAATTATATGCAGGATTGTCACCTGTGTTCATATTAAAAACCTGGATTAAGTTAGAAATCCAAACTGCAAATGCACTAGAATTCTTAAATTATATGGTGGAAGCCATCATGTTACATGAAATGCATGTGTAAGTCAATATGTGGAGCACTGCTTGGCAGTAATTACTCACTGAAATGGTTAAAATTTAGTTGAAATAATGATCTTACAGCCATGCCTATGCACTCAGAATTCATTCTTCATAGTAGTGTATTCTGAGAAATCANCTCAGGGCAATATGATATTATAAACACCAGCACATATCAGTCTCTGGTGTTTATAGCTTCGGAGCAAAGAAAACACATCATTCATAACAGAAACAGCTCGCAATAGCCACAGGAACGTTGCTGCAAGACAGGCATATGTAACGACGACTTAGCGCTCTTAAACGCGTGTGTCATTAAATACAGTCCTCCTGACAACAGGCCAGTGAAAAATCTAACAATCTACAGCAAAACCATCAATTATTATGGGCGTTATAACATACGTGTGCAGCTGGACGAAACATACACGTCGAACCCCCCCAGACGATTTAAATCCCTGACGAAACATACACGACGAACCACGGCAACGGGTTAAACACTGACATGTCACAAGCTGCAACAGAAAAAATGTTACAAAGACGGTATAGCTATCCCTGGTCACGGAGGCCCATAGGCTTGTGATACGTTGAGACTCCACATTTTCCAGACAGTCAGCTCAGAGAGAGTGGTGAGGATGTCAGCCTTATGTGGCCCAGGAAACTTCCTGGCACTCAATTCTGTTAGACACTGAGTTGACCACAGGGCCATAGTGCGACTGGGAAGGATTAGGTCACTTGAAAAATCCATGACATCAGGACACCAACAGAAAAAATGACAATTCTAGATGCAGCTGATGACTGTAGTTGAGATGCAGAAGTATTACTGGAATGTCTCTAGGATCATAACGGAATATTTAAGCACAAAATGACCAAATGTAAAACTATTTATAAAAACAGCAACAGAACTAACATTTCATTATACAGGCATACCACTGTTTTAATTACACACAAAATTTTATCCAGATTTTTCTCAACATTAACGCCATATGCACATGAAATTACTGAAAATCATCAGTATGGACTTTGGTATCACAAATAAGTACTGATCAGAAATTCTGCATTCATCAAATACTCTGGAAAGAAAATGGGAGTAGAATGGGACAATATATCAGCTATTTACAGGCTTCAACAAGGCCTGTGATTCAGTATGGGTGGACATACTGTACAACAGTCTCACTGACTTTGTTATACCCTTAAAAATCTGTTTCATCCATTTCATATTCAGAATGGTCTGAATTTTCAACTTTGCACTAGAAAACATCATTAGCAGGGGCCATGAAATATCAAGATAATTCAAATTGAACCCGACACAAAATTCCAGTGTCTGTTTCACTAATTTACTGAGCAAGAATATAAATACCACCAAGGAAAATAAGACTGTTAGATGATAATTTGTTCCAGAAGCACAGAGGAAACTAAGCACACTTTCTTATCTAATCACTAGAATGGAGGACAAAACACAATACAGCCACAGCTAATTTAGTGTCCAACCAAAAAGAGCAGTCCTTGAGAAGCCAACAATTGTTTGACATTTCAACAAATATACCAACTCTCATGGAATTTGACAGTTACTAACCATGTTCACAACACTCTAGAACTGTTCCGTATCCCTATTAATTCAGCCAACAGGCTCCCAGGGTATTTCTTTATGGATGGAGACTTAATAACCTATTACTTCAATATGTTCCAAAACATCACTGGACTCAGGCTTCCTAATGAGAATTGTGTACACTTTACTTTTCCCACACATTCCCCACCAACCTATGTTCTTCCCTTAACGCAACTGACAAAGTTCCATGCCTATATAAAACGGCTGGTAAAATTATGGTTTCATAAACTTCCTTCTTTATGTTTCTAAATGGCAGAATGAAGTTCAAAGATAACTCCATCACTGGAAATATACCAAAGGGACAGTTAATGTGGCAGATATTAAAAGCAGCCCATGAATGCCATTTGAATTCCATTTATTCGATCATTTTTATTCATCCTATGCTAGTCATTATTTTTTGTGTTACACTATGTATTCATTTATTTACCACGTAGTTACCATTCTCTTTCGCATATAAGATGGTTTCTTAAATGTATATCAAATATACTGTCATTATTTTAAGTTGCTTAAAACAATCTCTATATGATTCCCACTGTTTTAACCCCATTGTGCACCTTACAGCCCTTTTCTGAAAGGTAAATATTAGTCTAGTGAGTGCCTTCACACTCTGTCCCCATACAACAATTCCATATGCCAGAAGGGGATAAATCAAATCATAATACAACATTCTTCTAACATTCATATCAAATCATATCATTTACATATATAATGACAAGTAATGGACCAAGAACAGAACCTTGATATGAGTAGCAGTTAGAAAAATCACTGTTTAACTGCCGAATCCATTCACAGCTTACAGCAATAAAGTTTAAAAGACGAAAAAGGAAACTGTTCCAGCTTCTAATCAGCATCAATCGTGTAATGAATAGTTTATATCAACATCCTTAGAAATAATTGGTAAATCGAGCACTGCTCTGCGGCAGCATCAAGTTCAAAGTAACTTCTTCATAAATGAAACATTAAATCCCCACTGAAGACGGAACCAATATGCTCTCTAAAACACAAATATAATAACCTACTGCATTACAAGGCATCACATCTCAGAGGACCGATATCTTAATATTCTTCTCCCACGTGAGAACCTAAAATATAATAAAGACAAAGCACATTCCAACAAGTGGTCTTTCAACTTAATCGAATATATATCAGTATCAGAAAACCTCAGAGAATGCCTTCAACAACTGTGACAAATCAAGTCTTCCGAATAAATTCTACAAACTGCACATTCTCCGACAGGAAAAGACCAAAACATGCCGCCAAACAATCATTCCACCAGAACAGCAATTTTAAATTGTGGCAAGACATTCACAAACTTCACATTCATAAACCGGATCTACAGGTGAATCGACCTACTTATCCGCACAATTTCCGACAGTATCGATTTTGATCGATAGATGATAGGATAATCGAAAAATACGATCACCACGTGATCACACACACCCTCCTCAATTAACTTCTTGATGCCGTATGTGAAGTTCCATGACCAATTACGTGTTTCAGAACGAGATTGTAGAATATCATGGATTCTAAAACGCTGCAAGACTTCTCGGACTTCCTAACAGCTTTGCTCATTATTATAAATGCGGTAATAATAATGCAATGCCCTAAAACTTCATTTAACCACATTAATCCAATCCACAGCCTACGATCCTATGTCTCTTTCAGGTTTCGGTACCGAAACTTCGCAATCTTCTTTTTACAATACACACATGTTATGCCACGACAGCTAAAAACCGGAACAATAGAATCCAGAAGAGGCGGCCATTGTTAGAAAATAGCGCCGTAAATCTATGCTGAGGCATATTTTACGATATTTCATGCAATATGGGCTATATATAATTACAACGAGAGTCCATGCTGCGCTCATTGCTACGCAACTGTGCGGTAAACACATCTGAGCAGCAGTGAATCAACACGCAAAAAGGGGGGAGGCTGGGTTCTCTGTAGGTCCGTTCCGAGGCTATATAACTCGACCGACCGAGCTCGTGTTTTCTATTTACAGGACAGAAACAGAAACAGTGGAGGTTTCTCTCAAGTAAATTATCAAGGAGGTCTAGGTAGTTAGGACGTTGTTCAAGAATCGAAGAGGACCACCAACTTGAAAAGCAGTTCGATAACGGTGAGTAAACCGAGAGGGTGGCATATTTAAGAAGATCGCCAGTTCTATATACATGATAATAGAACTTCGAACAGTGGATCAGATGATTATAATAATTGTCTTTATACCTTCATTCAATTATCCGGTTTATGGGCCAGATATTACACCGTCAAACGTGAAGGTGATAGTCAGAAATAAACAGACATCTGGTGCTAGGCAACCGAGCAGTAAACAAGTTTCATCAACAACAGATGCCGTGTTTTCTGTGGGATCCGTACAGAGGAGTTGGGTAGAACACCACCGGCGCTACAAGTTCCGTTCCCTGTAGGAGATAGCCACAGGAAGTTCGTAGTTGAAGAAGAAATAGAAGTCGGCTTGTGAAGATTTCATACTGATTCGAAGGGCTAGTTTCAGTGTTGAGATCCGTTAACAGGAGACGACTAGTTAAGGCTGAAAATTCTAGTGCGTGTGTAACGGTGATCTGTAAGGTAAAGTAAGTTACACCTCTGCTTAACTAAATAAGCACTACGCCATGAAGAAGTATGGTGGAGTGGATGTATAGATCCACATTTTCTTGATCTCGGCACTAAATGGAGGTGAGTGGTCAGTTTCACGCCCCGGCCGCTTTACCACCGGGAAGAAAGCTCCCGGTACCCATTGGAGAGGAGGTTGGGTGGACCACACAGACTCGGTCTGGATGACGTGGAAGAGAGAAAATTCTTGACCCTACCGGGGCTCGAAATCTGACCCCTCGGTCGTCCAGCCCGTAGCCAGTCGCTATACCGACTACGCTAACCCGCCTCATAATGGTGAGTCGTAGATTGTGTAAATCAGCGATAGCGTTGTATTTCCTGTAATTGAGAGAGGTTGTAACCAAAGTGCCAATGATTCCAATCATCCGAACTAGAACCCGTTATTTTCGTCACATGTACCCCCATTCACGTGACAATCAAATGTTCACAGATTCTAGTTGTGGTTACAGTCGGTTATATTATAAAGTATAGTATTAAAATTGTTTGTTCCATGTGTATGTAGACCGATTCTTTTCAGCTTAATTTGTCGAATACCATGTATTTGTTCATCATTGGCAGACAAGAATAACCAAGCAGTGCGAGAAGTAGCCCGGTATGCGAATGTGTTGTATCAGTAGGCATGACAACTGAAAGCATGTCGTGACCTCCAAATGCGATATGTGTTGTGTCGAAATATTTGTCAGAACTTGAGAATACTTTTAAGGAAGGTTATTCTGGATATGCTAATAAAACTTTGTTTTGCTGTTATGGGGTACAATAGCGACCTGGGGAATCCCGTATTTCGTCTTACGTTAAATTCTGTACAGAAGTTAGTTTCAACGGTGCTCCGTAGATGACTCTGTTACGAAGTAAGGTGTCACGAAATTTCAAATTATCTAATTATATGCCACGCGTAGTATGTTTCTGAATTTTATAATGCCATGTTCTTCTTATTATCGTCTCGCTCTGAGTCAACGTAGCTCGTGGAAGGGATCGCGGTGTTACGTTTATGAATAATAAATAGCCGTAAATTATGAGCGTGCCGGTTGCTGCCTACTCCAGCACAGCAAGGGATAACATGTACATACTAAATCATCATCATCAGTAATCTGTCAGACGACAGGTCCACAGTCTCTTCCAAAACAATTCCTCCATTTAATGCGATCTAGAGCTTTCTCCTTCAAATGAGAATATCCTCTTCTGTCCCCAAGGTCATCCAGCATCTTCTTACATCTTCTTCCTCGTCTTCTTGTCACTTCTATCCGCCCCTCTATCTTTCCTTCAATAACTTCTTTTAGAAGGCAGTTTCTGCGTAAAACATGACCAATCCAATTAGCCTTCCGTTTTCTTATTTCGTGTAGGATATTCCTCTCCTCACTGACTGTAATTAACACTTCTTCATTTCTCACATAATCTGTCCAACTGATCTTCTCCATCCTTCTCCAACACCACATTTCGAAACTTTCCAGATGTTTCTGATCTACTGCCCTAAGTGTCCATGTTTCAGCCCTATACAGAGCTATGCTCCAAATGTAGCATTTCACTAGTTTACATACTAAATATCTGCATCAAATTCTTTCACGACCCTTCACGCCATTGCAGAATATTCTCAGTTGTTACTCTGTTACTCGTTTTCTTTCTTTGCCGTCATACAACAAAGGTGGGTTTCTGAGTACTGTATGATAAAAGGATTGAAGTCAAGTGAAATCAGTTTTATTACAACAGTCACACTACGTGTTTCGGTCTCTTTTGACCATCATTAGGTGTGTATGAATAAAACAAATATATTAGGTTTAAAAAAGTAAAAGTAAAGCTATCACTGTAACAGGCCGTGAAGGCCCATAGGGTTGTGAGACGTCGAGGCTCCCACATTATTTAGACCAAGCATATTGAACTTCAAACAGGTTGTGATCGACTTTTTAGTGTCAAAACTGCCAGTGATCTACCACCCCCTCCTATGGTCGTACCTCGCTTTAAGCAAAAATATTGGTAAAAATATCACGACACATGATGTTTGTTGTAAAAGCAACGTACATTGAAAGTACAGACTGCTTTAATACGTATTTTCCCTTCAAAATCTGAATATAATCATACGTACGTGTTATATTACAAGGGAATTTACATGCTTTTCACGTATAGCCTTATAGGCCCATGAGATCGACCAAAATCGTCCCACGATCGACGCGTTGGAAATGCCTGATCTAGACAACCGGCTCAAAGATAGCGGTAAGGTTGTCAGCCTTACGCGCCGGCCGCGCTTTACTCCCCAGGAAAAGTAATTAGGTGTATGCTGATCAAAATGGATCCAGCTTTCCAACGTCACAGATTAAAAGTTAGAAATTAGAAAATATATTAGCAATAGTATAGAATTATAATTATTAAAATGCATATATGTGTAGAATATAGATATATAAAAATAATATCATAGATGGTGGCTATTGAGCCACAGAGGCCGTCGGGCGCGCGCCCAACGGGAGAGTTGCGGATGATTGTATCGGCGCGTTGCTAGGCGACAACAGAAGTGCGAATGACGTCACATATCCCCACTATCACTACGCAACGCTCGGTAAACACCCCTCCCCGCTAGGCTGTGACGTCACGCAACAGTGGAGTCCTACCGTTGCTAGGCAATCGGTTGGTAAACACGTCCGCTAGAGACCTATATAAAGGATTGAATACATTCGCTGAGAGTGTATCAGTGTCAGTTGGATTCTAGAAGTGTTCGAGTACAGTTGAAACACAGTTCATACAGAGTTGAAGGCAGCGTTGAAATACAGAAGAATTGTGAACGCGAAGAAGATACAAGTGACAATAATTGTACTTGTAAGTGTAAGAGCGAGTGTGCAATAAATAAATTCGCTAAATGCAAGAACGGCGTGAAGTTATTTGTCGCGTCACACAGCCACAGCTAAAAATCCATATTTGTTGTCTGACGATAAGAAAAACTGAGTATTCACAAACATAATAGGACGCACAATTTCAGAATAAATATCCTGTTGTTCTGTTCTGATTTCATAATTAAAATCGGATAAAATCCTGCCAGTGTTTCGTAAAACTAAAATATTTCATCATATGGTTAAGCCGTAAATTAATTGTTTCTACTTAAATACAGAGTACTTCATAAGTTCCTCCGGAAACCCCGACAATAATTTAGGCCTTGTAGCCATGTATTTGATCTACAGAGGGATTCAAAATTGTTGTTTGGGTTTCCGGAGAGACATGAAGTACTCTGTGTAATAAAGGCTAATGCAGTGATATATTTCTCTCTCCTAATAGTTACAATGGATCCGCTGTCTATTTGGAAGACATTCCAAATCCGAGGTCTCACTGTGAAGGAATGGGAAGAAAAACTGTCCGTATTAAGAAAGGAAAATTTCAGTCTTAAGCTCCGAATATACTTCCTGGAAGAAAGAATGGGATATATGAATGCCATCGGCGGTAAGGAGGATCTTGTGAAGAAGAATATCGACTTAAGGGTAAAGTGCATTTTTCAATTAAAAGTATGCTTTTATTGGTCTATGCAGATAGTTTAAACCCAAGGTAACAACCGCAAAGAAGCAAACATAGCCGTAAAATAAATACGGCAATTCCTCGGTGATCGCTGGGGTTACGTTGCTTAAAAATTCCAATTGGCAAAACCGTGGTTTTATGGAGTACTTGGGGGTTATGAGAGCCACGGCCACTGTTTTCTCTGTGCCACCGCGCTTGAAGGTATACACAAATAAAAAATCGCCGATACAAAAAAAAACACGGTCGAAAGAGCTGAAAGTTTGGTTTTCGGCGTCTTGCACCACTGATATTTTCTGTGGTTCTCAAACCAAAAGTCACGGATAAATAAAATCAAATAATCCTTGCGGCTGGCCAAACTGATTACAAATGCAAAAACCGCGTTTGGTCAACCTGTGGTTGGGGAAGGATTGACGTACGTGTGTGTTCTTTCGTTTTCAGCTCATGCCTGCAGAAGGAATAGAATAGTGTCGTTATAAGTTTGAATTGGCCTGTACTGGCTTTAACGTTTTGCATTTAATCCAAGTTATCCCTTCCATTCCAGTATGGGGAAAGGGTGATCTGGATTGGACAGCCATTAGCTTCTCACTGTGGCAACCAGGTTCACTCCAGGTCAATTCATGTGGGATTTATGGTGCACAGAGTGGTACTATGGCAGGCTTACTCTAAGTACTTACGTTTCCCATACCAATTCTCATTTCACCAAATGCTCCAATTTTCTCATTTGTAATCTGAGTTGGTACAATGGTTCACTTATGCCACAAGTACCAAGAGAATGAGTTTCATTCTAAGGATAAAAAAGCTATTAAAACTACTGTAACTGAACACTTACAAGTCATTTTGAGTCACTTTGTATGATTTCTAAGCACAGTTTGAATAATATTCTGCTTATATCTGACACATTTCCAAAACTGATATCAGAAAATGCAAAGGATGATCAGCTGTAAGTTTTGTTTGGAATAATTCATTGAGCTGCCAGATCTTGAAGGAAGGAGATGATTAAAAAGACTGTTAATTTTGATTTGCGCAGATCTTTTACATTTCCCTTGGGTCCACAGATGTTCATAATTTATTTATTTCGTCTCTGTAGATCATTGTTACATGATATAGGACAAGTGAGTTACTGTACATTGGCTGATTACAATAAGAGAATAAAGTTACAATACTTACAGTTGTTACAGGAGATTACAATAGTTAAGATTTCATATAGAGTGAGGTGGAATCCGTATTAGGTCCCCTCAGCACGTTGGCTTCCATATGTCCTGTTGTACCTGTACTGGTGATAATGCTTATGGAGAATTTGATGGATGTGGTTGCATTGCAACGTTCAAGGTGTAGTAGTCAATGTAATAGTCAATGTAATCAGTAAATAAATATAAGCTATACCTGACCTCTGAAAGCTTTCTGGATTCTTCTGTGGGTTCAGAATCAGAATGATCTTCCACAAAAGCAGGAACATCTATTGCTATTTCTATGTGTCAGATTTTTTTTTGATAGCCACGGTTTCCTTCATCAGTCCTCAACCACATCTCACAGTTTTCAGATGTAGACTTTTCTCCAATCAACTGCAGGATCTTCTGGTAGTCTTTGGTCTTAAAGCCATCAAAATCTTTAAAATCATATCATCTATGAACAGAATACTTCCAGCAATTTGCATCCATTGTGTCTCTCACTTCCTTACAGGCTCTTGCCCAAGTTAAGTTAGTAGATTGTAATTTATTATATTCCTCAAGAACCTTTCCCCCTTTGTATCTTCAACTTTATCCTGCTCGTCTCTGAAACTACCATAACTTTGCAGTAAATTTCTTCTTGGATGATCAGCCACGTCAAAGTTAGGATAAAAGTGATCATTTTGAAAATCTGCCCAGTCACTGTTATCAGGATTGATTTGAAGAATTGCCATGAATCACTGATATACATATATCACTCAGCCAGTACTATACCTCTTATTGTGCATTAGGTGATGAAAGGGTGAAGTCATTTAAGCAGACATCACTCCTGTTTTAACACTGTAGTGCTAACAGGGAGAATGGTACACCACCTGTTGAGTACAGGCCATCTGCCACTGTTTAACCTGGCCATCCCAGAGTTTGTCCCATTTAATGTCATTTAACCAGTCTATATCAAAATGCTGCAAAATCTGATGGTTCGGTGCTTGGCCAAGTTTGAAACCTTTTTCCCTATTGATGTTATTTAGGTGTAGCTATATTTCTGCCACCTCTTTAACAATTTGGTTCATGTAACTCAATGCTTTTGTTCATATTTCACTATCCAAGCCTGATTTACTGCTGTGTTCTGCCATTGAATATTTTCCCAATTGATGCAAATGTAGGTGTTTGGTGTATTCTTTGCATCTTGGCTCAGTGGATTGACCCAGCTATCCTGCATATACTTTTCAACATTCAGTGACATGCTGTAGAGATGTGATACATTTGGACTAAACTTAAATTTGATGTGGCTGATCATCTGAGAAGATTTTAGGGAATTTTCCATGAAAGATTAAGTCTTCCAACTTTCATCTTTGTAGCCTAATGTAGGCCATTGTGTTACCTTGATCCATTGAATGTATGAAGTTAGTCACATTGTGTGGTAAAGTTAGGCACTTAACTTTCTTGGCAGTAGAGTTTGTAATTTTTAAACCACTTGAAAGTCTTCTGCAGCAGCCCATAGTTCCAGATGATGAATTTTGCTGCATGGACTCTTTGTGTACAACTTCTTTCATATCTTCATGAAATGGCATCTTTGTAATGTTCTGACTTGATGCACCACCATCTGAATTAAACTGAAATGCAAATTTCTTATTTCTTCTCTTTCACTTGATGTCAGATAAAATTTGTTTCCCTATGTCAGACTCTTCAGTGCTCTTTGTTATTGACACACCAGCCTCTAGCTTCTCAGGAATTTTAATTCTATCCTTAATAGTCAAAATGACACACATCCATTTGAGTTCACTTTATTAAATGCCATTATTCACACTTAAAACTCTTTTAGGGTATGAAAAAATAATTATTTTATGGTGAGAGACATCCTCGCTGAAGATGTCAAATAACTGAGCAGATGCAGCCACGTCATACTGATTAACCAATGTAGGACGGACTAGATTAGTAAGATTTATTGTAATAATTGACAAAAAATGGAAGGTGTTTATACATTTCATGTATTTAGGTGGAAGTGGAGGAATTAAAGAAGGAAGTGTCCGGCAAAGATGTTCTTATTTGTCAAGCTGCGAAAGCTTTGGAACTTGCAGATGATGAACATGAAAGAAAACTAATGAAGACAGGGAAGGAAAGGAACATCAAGAAAGAGGAGATGAAATCAAGAATACAGGAGTTGGAGACTGTAAGTTAAAGTGTTATTGAAACTTCTTACATCCTCAATGTTCTTAGTTGTCCTTTAACTTGAAAATGTGTCAAATTTGAATGTTTAACCCAGATGTCCTTAAATATCCTTTGAAATCAAGTCATTGAATGTTGGAAAATCTTGCTCTGTCTGGTTGTACAGGATATAATCAAAGGCATTTAAGTGTGTTCTGAATGTAAACATTATTCATACAGACTTTTAATATCATTCTAAATCTCTTTATGTTGTAAATTAGTGAAGCATTTATTTATGTAATGGACAGTACACCAGATGATAACAGAGCTTGAAATAAAATATGGGTATTTCCTGTAGGCTTATAATTTTGTAGGAGACTGTATTTAAGCTGGTGGTCAGAAAGAAATCCTAAGAACCCATAGATATCTCTTGGTCCCTGTTCTAGGAGCTGAGACTGAAATTTTATGTCTGTGACAGACACAGAAACTTGCTCTACACAACTACAACGATTTTTCAGACACCTGGAAGGAAAACATGTAAACAGGAACTAAATGCTTTAGAGTTCCTTGGGTTCATTGTCTTAATCCCTACATATCTGAAATGTGGAGTGGGAAAGCCAGATTGAACTAAGATATCGGCTTTTCATCTTTAGTAACTATAATAAACATAGGCAACCCACATCTTTGCAGTAGGGAGCTGTTCAGACTCGCCATAAGGAGCAATCTCATCATTAGCAGTGACCATTATGAGGGAAAAACTTGTTGCTGCTGCTGCTACACTCCCTCCTCTCTGCACCTTTTGACTTTTCTAAGGTTTCTCATGCTCCAAAGATGTTGATCATTCTAATACCCTTCCTTCAGATTAATTCCTTGTACAGGAAATTTATTTGAGAGTGCATTGCAAATCTTTCACTCAGTTCAGTGCAAGAGAGAGAAGCCCCTTACCTGAACCCATGTTGTTTATCTTCATAGGCGCAGCACAATAATAATATATAGTATAATTTTGCTCTAGTATTATTGTGTTTTTACATTTGCAATAATTTCATTGACCCTTATGTGTTATTCCTACCTAGTGATAGCTAATGAACAAACAAAATCTAGTGTTTGCTCCATCTTTAGTTTGTGATATCTCTTGCACCAGTTTTTTAAAGTAACAAAATTTGCAAATCCAAAAATCTGGTGCTTTTTTTATTCTGTCTGTACACTGATTTTGCTCAGATCTTCCTTGTATGTGTGCACATGCTGGGACATGAAGATTCACACTTAAATATTGTGTCGTTTAGTCACAGTTGAAAAGTTTGCAATTAATTTTACTGTTGCATATTTCACTACTGTCATTGCCCTTGCAGAAAAGAATACAAACTATTAGAATGAAATAAATGACCAGAAAAAGTAATTCTTTGTGAATGTTCAATTGTTTTCCGTTACAGGAATTGTCCGAATATGAGGACGAGCTGAAAGACTCAACATTTTTGCAACTTGACTCTTCCGCTTTGATGACTGAAATATTTGGTCTTGGTGCAGCAAATACTTCTGATGACCACCATGATCATGAAGAAACAGAAAAGTTCAAGCTGCATATTGAAGAGTTAGAAGAACAGGTGTGTTAGAAAAGTTATCCTGATTAAGTAAAAATAGTTAAAGGTATCCCTGTAACATGCCGTTGAGGCCCATAAGGTTGTGAGGTGTTGAGGTTCCCACATTTTCTAGACCATCGGCTCATAGATGGCGGTACGGTTGTCAGCCTTACGCGCCGGCTGCCCTTTCCCCCCAGGAAGATTCCTGGTTTTCATTTCTGTTAGATGCTGAGTCAACCCCAGGGCCACAGTGTGGCTGGAAGGATTAGGTAAATTGAAAAAATCCACCTCATCAGGATCCGATCCTGATTAAGAACCAAATTTTATTTTTGACCACTGAGAATATCAGGACAAAGAAATGGACAGAAACAGCCTGCTGCTTGTCAAAATATGGCAGAGTATGCAAAGTTTGACAATTATTGTATTGGTGTCAACAGCAAATTTAAGGGGTAGGGGGAAAAGTAAAATGAAAGCTAGAGATTGAGGTTTTTACAGCAGTGAATATGCATAGTGTGACATGTAGACCCATTTCTAGGCAATGCCTGAAACATGCACACACAGCAATAGAAACAGTCTTGCAAGAAGTGTTTTCTATGTGGTCCGCATCATGCCCATGTTAGACAAAGGAGCTGTAAACACGTATCCCTAATAGAAGAAAGGTATTGTCTATGTGATCTGCACTGAGACTGTTTGCTGGGCGACTGCATGGCAACACGGCTCGACAACAATAGAGGTAGCAGTGTTTTCTGTGCTGCATGGCCATGCTACAACTACTACTATAAGAGAGTCGTGGGAAGTTAGTAGTTGAAAAATGATTAGAAGTCTGCATGTGAAAACGTAGTGATTCAGTCACTGGGAGACTTTTAATTCCAATACCAGGATATGACTAATGAAAACTGAGAATCCTAGTGCGTGTGTAACTGTGAATTGTAAATTGTGTAAATCAGTGGTAGCGCTGTATTACGAGTTGATTGTATAAGCTGTTAATAAATCCAATCATCCAATCCAAACTGCATCTGTAGTCACTTGTACATGTGACAATATTATGATCTGTTTTATAAGACTACATAGTCTGGTATGTGGTTAGCAATGTTTTCAAGGAATCCCACTCCTGACACCATTTCTCATGTTAGTAACTAGACATGGGGTTTCAATTGATAATTGGATTTAATGAAGGCTTATAACTAGTAACTACAAATAATTTTAAAACTTCCACTAATCTACACACTCTGCAGATCATCATAGTACATGCTAAATCTCAGTCTGTTATAGTCTTCACTGGTCGTTGCTAGGTAACAGCTCCAAACAGTGGATATTCTCCACTTCCATGTTCACATCCTTAAGGTTCGGCCACACAGAGCGCTACGTACATGACGCACGCTACATACGCTATGTTCGCTATATGAACAGAGAAATATCTCCCTTTATTGCCAATGTGACTGGCCACACAGACTTCTGTACACTACGTACGCTAAGTTCCCTATGTTAGCTGTGTCGCAGGGTGTACACAGCATACGTAGCGTATGTAGCAAACATAGCGTAGCGCTCTGTGTGGCCGAACCTTTACTGGCCTGTTGACTGTCTCATAGCTCACTAACTTGAAGTCAGAGCCATGTTACAACAAACAGTCAGTTGGCCAACCAATCTTGGTGTCAAGCCCCATCTGGAGACCAAGACCAGATTTTTGTTACTGCCAAACATTTGCAGATTTGTTGATGTGTGGTGCCCTCTCTGACAACAGGATGGGTATGTCATTTTCTGCAGTCATAATTAGACTTTTTGGTTTTCGTTATACTACCACAGTCAATAAGTTCATGGAATGACCGCAAAGCGCCATATGGGAATTTACTGCCAATATGTTTCAGCAATGTTTTCGACATTGGCAGACTTGCATAGCGACCTACGACAACTATTTTGAGGGCGGATGTGCATCTGCGTAAGTGTATGTGAATACCTTGTAATATGATGCGATAAAACCACATTCCACGAACTTAATGACTCTACCACGTATAACCTCAGCACTGACCGTGTAGGAGACGCTGCTTCCAACAGTTCTTCTATTGTTGGATGTGTATTTGTTGCTGCGGACATGTGTTGACCTCGCCATTTTCTAGCATTGGCCAAATCTAGTCATTCCACTATTGCAGCTTTCATGTAACAGTACTATAGCAACATAGTTTAGATTCATGGGATCCCGATCTTACCTTCTTCATGGATGGTTAATTGCCCAGGGCAGAATGATGTTGGAACAGTTGGCCCTTAATATGAATTGCAGTGATAACTGAAACGTGGTTTATTTTCACATTTAATCTTGTAGCAAAATATCTCATTAATAGTTATTGTGTTAGTATACTGACTGTAATAAGAATTTTCTATGTTTGATTCAACATGCAGTTTTTTCCCTTCCTTCCTTATGTGCTTAGGTTCAGCAACTGGAATTCACCTTACAACAGGAAACAGTTCATTCAAGTCAGTTAGAGACTGATCTGCAGGAAGCACAACAAGAAGCTCAGCATGTTAGTGTACGATGCCAAGGCCTTGAATTGGAACTCAAACAGTGCGGCAACAAGCTTGAAGATCTGGTACAGGAACTGGATCAGAGAGGGCAGGACCTGGCAGGCTGTAATCTCCGAATCAGGACACTTGAAGAAGCACTGAGTGCCAAAGAGCCTGAAATTCAAATCAAGGTAGAATACATGTTAATAATGTATACACTGCTTGAATGTTGCAAATGAAGATAAATGCAGTAAATCTTCTATTGAATGGAGGGTAGTTTTTGGACTCTTATGTAGAATGTAGAAAATAATTCTCAGAATCCGTTATTTAAGAGCAAGCAGTGAACTTAGAATTGTTCAGCTAACACTTCCTGGCACTGTCTTGACCACAGGTGCAAGAGCTGTGTGAAAGGGATCGCATTATTGAAGAAAAACAGAGTCAGATTGAACAGCAGAACAAAGTCCTTGTGGAAATTCAAATCACACTGGATGAGAAACAGCGGCAGATTGAGGTTCTGAGATCATCACTTGCAGCCCGGGATTCATCTATTGCAGACCTGGAAGCCCGACTTGCAAAGGCAAAAGCTAATGCTCGTAATTTAGAGGCAAAACTGGATGCTTCAGTTCATGAAGCAAATAGACTTCGAGAAGAGGTAGTCCTTCTAATAGTATTGTGTAATATTCTGTTTAGATCATATTCTGCACATTTATGCTTATTATTGTTGTGTACATGTTCATAGTGTGTGAATTTCATTGTCTGAAACCAGTTTTACAGACTTCACTTTTGCTGGTTGATTGTAATTTCCCATAAGTGAAATAAGTATAGGGTAAGTGACTTGTTGGCCACGCCTGTTGCTATACGAACTTGAACCATCTCGAGCATCATTTGCTCTGTGCTTCAAGTTGCTGCTGATGACGCTGCTTCCGGCATCAGTTTTTGGTTCTTAGTGTGTCTCTTCGTCTGATGCCTACCTTTTGACCTGTCCAGCAAGGGAGGCCCTGCCAGTAGCTACGCTACCGCTGGTATAGCTCTTAGGGTCCTTGGCATACTCAAACCCCCTCACCACGATACGGAAAGCAAAGCGATGTGGAAAGCAAATGGAAAAACTACCACATTATCAATTTTCCTGGATAGTCTCTTTCCAAAAACAGAGATACCATGTATGCGAGATGTTTCCTCTGGAGATAAAACAAACCGGAGGGCGGACAGAAGTGACCAGAAGACGTAAGATGATGTTGGATGACTTTGGGGAGAGAAGAGGATACTTTTAATTGAAGGAGAAAGCTTGAGATCGCATTAAGTGGAGGAACTGTTTTGGAAAAGACTATGGACCTGTCGTCTGATAGATTACTGATGAATGAATGAAGTGACTTGTAAATCTTCCATGGCTATGTTTAAATTGTAACTTTATTAATTTTCTAGGTTACAACTTTAAAAACTCAGCAGGAGGGCACGAACAATCACTGTCGAGAACATATGCAGCAAGAACTTGATTTATTTTCACCCCTAAGGCACAGAAGCAGCAATTTATCAAGTATATCAGATGACCTTGCCTCTCCAGGAAGAAGCGTTCATCAAAGTTCAAAAGATGATCACATTGTAAAGAAATATTTGTTAGAACTGAAAGAAAAGGAAGAGAAGCTGAGAACTGTGGAAGAGAGCAACAAAGAATTAGGAACACAACTTGAAAAAGCTCAGCAGGAAACAGAAGCTTTAGAAGAGAAAGTGAAACAACTAGAATCTGCGAGGCAGGATGCTGAACACAAGCTTCAGGAGACTGAAAAGAAGATGAAGGACAAGGAGAGTAAATCAAAAAAGTTGGAGGAAGATCATCTTAAAACTTGCCAGGCAATTAAAAGTTTCATGAGGCGGACAAAGGCTGTGGATGAAGAAATTAACAAGCTCAAATCAGAGTTGAAAAGAAGAGATGAACGTATTCATGACCTGATGTCAGAGGTGAATGAATTACAGGATGCCTGCGACAAAGCCAAACGGGAAGCTCATCAACTGCAGGCACAGGCACAGGTGCCTGGTGGTGAAATGCCAGGATCTTTCAAAGATGTTCACGACATGACTGAGGAGGACCATGAGGTATGAATGTTTATTATGGACAGTGATTCATAATCTGTTACTACATAGGTTTATAGGAATATGAAATGCACAGTTTTTCAGTTGATAACTGTTTCCTCTGCCCTGTTATAGCTTGAGAATATAAATAATTTAATTTGCATGATACAACTTCTGATCTTCAGCATGATGCATGAAATGCAGCCGTAATTCATTTAATAAATCCTGAGATTATTCATGATGCATGAAATGCAGCCATAATTCCTTTAATAAATACTGAGATTATTGGTATCACTAGGTGGACATAGTAGAGAGATCTTGTTGTTTCTGATACTGCTGGAAAATGAGAGACAGCTTCCAGTCCCAGTAACAAGGTGTGACTATTAAATAACCGGACTGGTGTGAAAAATCAGGTTTATTTTCAAAATCTTACAAATTAATTTCTATCCACCTCAATGTCCTCCCCCCCATATGTACACTGCTGCAGTGCTTTAGGTCATCAGCTGACACCCTGTTCACCAGATCCGCCGTTTTCAATTTCTCCTCATCAACAGACTGAAAACAAGTTTCTTTCGACCCACTTTTCCCTTTGGGGAACATGTAGAAGTCACTGGGGGCTAAATTCAGTGAATAGTGGAGGGAGTTGTTTGAGCACTGGAATGCAGTTATCAGCTAAAAATTGCTTCACGGCCAGGGCGTTGTGAGCTGACACATTCTCTTGATGCAAAATCCATTATTTCTTCTTCTACAATTCTTTTCTTCATCACACATTCTCGCAGCTTGGTGAGGACTTCCAAGTATGTAGTACTCGTGATTAATCATTTGACCCTCAGGTACCCATTTAGTCATGATTAAGCCTCTAATGTCGAAGAAAACAGTCACCATTGACTTCACTTTGGACTTGCTCATTCTTGTTTTTTCCATTTTCGGTGAAGTGGGTGTTTTCCAGTGCATCGGTTACCACTCCGTTTCTGGATCGTATTGATAAATAACACATTTCATGACATGCGATGACATTTTCAAGCATTGATGCCTGTGGGCCCTCTTTTAATGCAGTGTGCGATATCCAGCCTGTCAGTAGGGTGCATGCCATGGTGTCAGCTGTGATGTCCGCGATAGGGTCGATTTCTGGCCAGCATGTGAAACAGTCAACTGCATTGAGGCAGTATGTGTAGCCCGCTGGCTTCAGAAGGGGCCCCATGAGGTCTAAGTAGACGTACAGAAAACGGGCTGTCAGCGGTGTAAAATCACCCAAAGGAGTGACTGTGTGGCGGGAGACTTTGGAACGCTGGAAGGACTGGCAAGCATCTGCCCAGGTGCAGCAGTCCTTCTGGACGCCTAGCCATACAAAATGCTGTGCGAACCACTTTGCTGTTGTTTTTTTGCCTGGGTGCGACAGACCATTCACAGATTGGAACGGGATGTACGACCAAGGTGTTCCGACAGAGGTATCACAGTAGATGGAGGCCATGGTACCGGGGATTATCAGTTTCTCGAGCCGCAGGGCAGTGGGTGACCCCAGGAGTATTCAGAGCTTGTCGCCATCCTGCGATGTGGCCAGAGTGTCGTAAGATGGTGGTGCCTTGACAGAGTCAACTCGAGAGAGGGCGTCGGCGACAACATTATCCTATCCAGAAATGTGCCTTATATCTGTTGTGAACTAGGCAACAAAGTCTAGATTGTTGAACTGAGTCGGTGAGCCTTTTTCACACTTCTGATGGAAGGCGTAGGTGATGGGCTTGTGATCAGTGAAGATGATGAAGTGGCGCACTTCCAGCATGTGGCATGTGTGGTGGAGTCGGCTGCAGTGCTGCTACTAGTAGACTCGCTGTTTCCATATGCTCTTCTGCTCTCTTGATGGAAGCATAGAGTGCAACTGATGCAAGCGTGTCAGGTGTCCGCATCTTTATACATTGGTCGCTTGGCAGCTAGCTAAACAATGGGCATTGGAGCTTCTGTGATGAGCACTGGTTGGGTAGCGCCTGTGTGACTCTACAGACAGTGAGGCTGCAGGCTGCAGTATATAAATATCACCTGCTCTTGCTTCACTGTGGAAGGTTCTCACACTGGAAACAAGAAACAGAAAATATGTAATACAGAACACAACAGACATTCTGATCCTGGGTTGAGCCAAGGAACTCTGAACTCTTCTACAGATTATCTTACCGCTGTATCACAATGTCACATGGTTTAGTGTATTTACTAAGAATTTTCACTGCCCAAGAAAAACACTAATCATCTGAATGACAAGTAATGACAGAAAAATCAAGATGCAAGAAACATTTTTGTTTTCAGACCCTTCTAAATTTTTAGTTTTATTAAGAATTCCATATTTCATGCTCCTCAGTTTCTTAAAAGTAAGACTAGGGTTTGTGTGGTTCTGCATTTCAGACAATTCCTTTTGCTTTGTCGCAAATTCTGAGAAACTTTGCATGGGGCAAAAATACAAATACCTCTGTTACTCTATTCGGTACGTGTGCCTGCATGCATGCCTGTGACTTTCATTCTGACAACAGCTGTAATGTTCTGATCTTGAATCTGCAGCCAAATTTGCATTCTTTGTCTTCAGTATCATTTGCTTTTTCTTACTTCTCATATATTGATGCATTTACCTGATGGACTGATTATGTGTCCAGTTGTGGATTGTCCTGTTTTCCAGTTTCTCTTTGTATCTGCTGCTTCCTTTGCAAGTGTTGTATGATTCCTCTCCTTCATTTTTTCTCTCATTTCTATTTTGGTTGTCTTTCCAAACCACCATTGTTAAGGTGTACAAGAGTAAAAATTAACTTCGTCTTTTACATTTTTTGTTACTTAGCATATGCATGCATTTAACAAAACATAATGCATACTTTAACAAGACAAATATTCAGACAAAGCATTTATTTAAGCAAGTTCCTATGTTTATTGTGTGCATGGTTTTGTGTGTTGGTGAGCGATATTCTCAAAAATAGTTGATCTTCGGATTCTGAAATACCCTCGAGAACTTGAACAACAGCAGAACATCAATGAATATGACTATATTATTAATCCCCATATTATCACGTAACTTTCTATTACAAAAAATTATTTATATATTGATGCAGCAACTTGAAGATATGGACGGAAGCAATGGCCCTTCGTTTACGATCCCAAGTCACTTACTGAAGCAAATCCATTACCAAAGAGAGAAGCTGGAATCTTCTCTTTATCACAACAACTTCATTCGGCGCCAATTAGAAGGCCTCATATCGAGCTTAAGTAGCCAACGTGGTGATAATATGAGCCTCTGGCGGAAGATGAAAGAGACAGCTGAACAGTTGGATGAAGCTCGTCACCACAATCAGGAACTGGAAACACGGCTGCAGGAAATTGGAGTGCAGTTGAAAGAGAGCCAAGAGAAAACCAGGCTTGCTAATGCTGCCACTGAGCAGCTTCAGGTAAGGTAACATGGGTTTCAACCAGTTCTTAAATGTTATGTGGCACAGTGGTAGCCAAAGTATGGCTCTGTGGGTGGATATGGCCTTTGAAGGTAATACACAGTCTTCCTGAAACAGGTAGACACTTTACTACTTTGACACATGTCAAGTTTCAAATGCCTCATTAGACTGCACACAAAAGATTACTTGCAGTACTTTTTGTGCATCTGATTGTGTTTCTAACATATTGATACCATCATGACGAACTTCTTATATATTTAAGACTACGGTCTTGATTATTTTGAGAATTTGTACAACTTCTCTTTGTCTCAGAACTTAATCACTTGGTGTGCAGTAAGTTAGTTCATGTAATATTGCTGTTGATTTAACATTCATTATGGCATGAAATAAAAACATGCTTTTGTAGAAGTAACTGTATTATGTAGACTGATCATTACATTATCCTGTAATCTACTTCTCAGGGTTGTATTGGCACTAAACATAATATATAAGAAAATCTGTGGTTGTATTATGTTAGAGTGAGTGGTTAATCCTCTAACTTCTGCAACTGTAACAGAAACTAAATGGAAAGGGGGGAGGAGGGGATTTAGGATAGCTGTTGAAACAGTGACATGATACTGCAATAGGCCACATGGTTAAATACCTGCTGGGGTAATGATGATGACCAAAGAAACCAAATAAACTGAATGTAATTTATATCGCATTTTATGCAGGACTGAAATTAGTTCCCACTGGAATATTGACTTATGACAGAATAATGTCTAATTCCTCTTTCTGTTTGGAAATAGTGATAAACAATGGAATCCACTTGTAAGTAATATTTGCAGAATTCAGGTGAGGTATTTTTCTGTCTACAACAACACAGTTATTTCAGAATTTAAGAACTTTTTATTTTTGGGCTGTTCCATATATTGAACTTCTGACCTGCATGACCTTGAAACCATTTTTAACTGACCATAGGATATGACTAAAAAGGCTGAAGCCTGAATTTGTATTTGTTTGGCCTTGACTGTGCCTGCAAGCCTGACTAGATATTTGGGTGCAGTGATTTAATTAGCTTCCAACTTCATTTGTTTCAGGTGATTCAGCAAACAGTGTCCACCCTTCAAGAACAGATATCTAGTCTTGAATCTCAACTCCAGGAGAAGGATAATGAGATAGAGAGAAAGTGCCTAATGTTGGAACTTGAAAACCAAACAAAGCAACAGAGCATAGAGACAGAAAAAATGGTGCAAGAAGCTGTCAGGTTAAAAGAAGAAGCTGAGAGACAGATTCTGGCTGCAGGAAATATGAAGTTAGAAGGCGATAATAAGCTGCAAGAGGCACAGAAATTAATTACAGAAGCAGAGAAAACAAAATTTCAGGTCGAGGGCCAGTTGATGGAAATAAAGAAGAAAGCTGTGAATGCCAAGCCCCAGCCAAAAGATGCTGAAATTAGGAGTTTGTGTTACAGACAGGAAAAGAAACGATACTAAGAGAAAAGGAAATTATTGAGGAGGAGAGGAAGGCACTTTAGAAAGAAAAAGAAATGGAAGAATGTATGGAAAAAGTTGAAACATTAGCACATGATGCAAAGAAAGAGAAAGAAGATGCAGAAATGAGAATCAAAGTAATATAATAGAGAAATATATTTTATTTGTAATTTGAAATCAACTTGGATCAAGTTTTTATTTTTTGTTTTGTTTGTTGTTGATGTTGATGACAAGTGTATAGGTGTATGTAAGTCTCAAATTTTTTAAGATAAAATTGATTCAGACACAGATTTTTGAGTCTCTAACTTTGATATGTTTCAGATAACTGCTTTTGCTTTATGCTGTGGTATACAAACTACCTAGTGCATCACAATCATAATGGTTTCCAATATTAGCATGAATTAACTCGTCAACAAAATCTGCCCATAGTGGAAGAAGGACAAAGCCATAGAATTTATTTATTTTTAATATGATCAGTTTTGAAAATATGTCATTGAAAAACAATCTGATATCAAAAGAGAGTAGTAGTACAATTTAGTGTCCTCTAAAAGAGTGGTCCGTATTTTAAATTGCGGTTATGATGTAAAAATTGGTGTAGTAGAGTATTTTCAGTTAATAACCTTGACAGCTGCACCACCTAGTTTTCATAACATCAAAGTTAGTTGACTTCTAGACTTTCCCCTTTATGTCATTTATACTGAGCACAGAATAGCATTATTCTTTGTGGTCAGAAACGAGAAACGGAGTTGAAGAAACATCTGCAGGAATTAGAAAGGTGCTGTCGAGAGAAGGAACGTGAGCTTATGAGGCAGTTGGATAAAGTTACAGTAGCAGCATCACAGGCAGCACTAGAATAAACTTGTCTTGCTAATGAGAAGTTGCATCTTGAGCCAGAGCTCCATTGACAGGAGGCACGAAAACTTTTGCTAAGTTGGGCCTTGTACGAATTTTAAGTAATCAGATATAACTCTGAAAGTTAATAACGACAACATGTTAGTAATTTTCAGCACACAAAAGAATGTCTTGTACAGTCTACGTAGGCTTGTAATCTATCCCATGCCAAATATCATGTCTTTTTCATCACCATAAAATATAAGTGGAAGTATACAATTGTGGCCGTGCCATAGCTCAAGCAGTTAGTCGCTGGCTTTCCACCGCGGCGGCCCAGGTTCGATCCCGGGTCTGGTCAAATGGGATTTGTGTTGGACAAAGTGGCGCTGGGGCAGGTTTTATCAGAGTACTTCGGTTTCCCCTGCCAATCTTCATTCCACCAGCTGTTCCACAATCACCCTCGCCTATCATCTGGGGCTGGTACAATAGGCCAGAAGTGGCCGCAGTACAAGGGACTTAGTCCCACACAACTAGCATTAAAAAGAAATACAATTGGATTATTTTACCTCATCCATAGAAACAGACTGTAAAACAACATGAATTTCATATAGGATTTGAGGTTCTCACAGCGGTGATTATAAAGAGTTTTATCTTCTGGATATAAAGCCAGGTAGTCCGTTGGAAGTCAGCTGGCATGCTTCATCAGAGCTGACACATTTATTTCACTATCACTACTATATTCACTCTGAAATACCACTGTATTCATAAAATACCTCACCACTCACATGCATCTTCTTGCTAGGACCTGCCATAATGTTTATTCGCAATAACTCAAACCAAGGACAGCTATCAAGCAATCACCAAATTCCTGTCACACTCTGAAGTAACTAGAACATCTTGCAAGCACAACATACAAGTTTACAATAATGACCAGCATTGTATCTACCACGGAGTGATTAGAAACATGCATGGTGTCGATAGACGTCATGGCCACTACGATACACAGTACTGCATGACATCTGTAGACGTCATAACCACAAGTGGTTAATCAGGTTTGGGCCAGCATGCTTCAATTAATGGTTAACATATTTTTTTTTAGGTCCAGATGCTTCGTCATCCCCAACTCACATGAAGGCTGGCAGAACGTCTCCTGGCAGTTACTCTTCTGGTCTTGACCTACTGACGGGAGAGAGGGGTTCCCTTCCTAACAGCCCATGGGGTACTACAGCTACAATGGAAGCCAAAATGAAGATGAGGAACAGTGCAGAGACAGAAGCAGAAGGGGAAGTGACAGTGGTCGCAGCGAAGGGCTTACTGGTCTCTCCAGCCTGGTACATCATGGTTTTGGCATACAACATAGTGAGCTCTCTGACTACATGTCTGAGGACCAAGCTCTTGAAGAATATGGGGCCATATTCACAAAGGTGGGAAAATGACTTCACTGCAAGCTACTAATTCAGTTGGGTGTTTACCCTATTACAAGTTTGTGTTGATAACATTTTGACCAGTGCATAATTTTTTCAGAGAGTGCAACTGAAGTTGATATGTAGTAACACTGTATGGATATTCGTGCCTACAGGAGCCATGTGATTCCTTAACGTAGAAATGAAAATGTCCTGTGATAAAACTCCAACCAGTGCATAATTATCATGGACAGTGTGATTAAACTTGAATGCAGTATGCACAGTATGAATATTTGTGTCTGTGGACTTCACCGCACAGTTTGTTGATTGATATTGATATGATACGCAAGCAACGCATAATTTTTGCAATTGAAGTTTCCCTATTGCATTTAACTTCCACAACATTTATGCAAAAATTATGCTTCAGTCAAAATTTTGTCAATGTTAAACTACAGCGTTTAATTTTTCCCAAATGATCTTGTTTAAACTAAGACTGCACAAATTATTTGAGTAAATACAACAGTATTTGTGAACAATTCCATGAACCAGGATGTCATCATCAGTTAGTGACATCATCATTAGAAAGTTGATAGATTCAATTTTCAACATACTTTCATTATTCATATACATACTAATGGGAAATTCAGACATACCAAAGTAACACTTTTCTCACCAATGGGATTGGATATGTTTGGATGATGTAAATATATACAGTATTATGAAATTATACCAGTATACTGTGTTGCATTTATTTGGAATTATCTTATTATTTGGGTTTATAAATATTACTTTTATAATATATTTTGCTTCATTTTGTATTACTGATCCATTCTCACTTCTTTTAAAAATGTTTCTTGCTAAAGGTATGCCATTTTTTGCAAGCCTTTAAATTCTGCCTTATAGTGCCTTTTCCTGATAGTGTCAATACCATAGGCGCTCCACTCTATGGCAACAAATCCAGATGACATGTGATTTAGGAATGTCATCATTACTCTCATTTATTCACCAGTTGCAAAAGCTTTTTTTTTTAATTAAAGACTACCGTCTTCTGGAATGTGGCACTGTGTAGATCTTGTGAATTGAACCGATGTTTCGTAGGAACATATTGCCTCCATCTTCAGGGTAGCATGAGCAAGTGGTTTTGCAACCTGCTCACACTGGTTTCTTGCTCGCGGATTTTTACCCTGAAGATGGAGGCAATACCTTCCTCCGAAACTTCGGTTGAATTCACAAGATATTCATGGCGTCACATCCCAGAAGATGGCATTCTTCATAGTCACCACTGTGAAAAACTTTTATTCCACAGCTCAGTTATTACTGCCTGGTGGTGGTGGTGGTGGTGTTAAAATGACAATGACAGCGAGGACAATGATAAGAACCAGTCTTGTCTGGTGTCCAACCTCCTCCGTCTCAATCTTCATGCCCTTAGGGAGTGAATTGCCTCCTTTAGCAGGAGTTCCATCGTCTGCTGTGACTCCATTTTTTGTGGCAGTATAATACTCGATGCACAATAATTTGTTCTAATCTGTGGCATGTTTAAGTTCGTAGACACTTCTGACACCATATATGTCCTGTGTAGAGCGTACGCGTGATGAAATGGGTTCTAGTTCAGATTATTGGATTTATTGACAGCTTGGTTACATGCACTCTCTCAATGACACTTTTATACACAGCAGTATCGCTGATTTACATACACCTCATAATCCACTGTTGCATCGCACACATGAAGTCTTCTACATCACGCTTGACATCCTCACAGGCAATCTTCCACTTCACTTGCTTCCGCCACTCTCATGTGTTGTGTGTCACATACAGCAACACATGATAATATATTTTCTCTTAAAAACAGAGTGAATCGTAAACATTGAAAGAAACACTTTGTCATCCCTACTCAAAGAAACTCTGAAACAGATTTCTATCCTTACTTGCAGGGTTGCAGTTGGGAAACAGTAATGTCATGTGTTTATGGGTGACTCTAGATGGGGTATGGATTGGTGAATGGATTTATTGACCACTTATACAACCACTTGGAAGTACAAGTAATAACAGCGCTATCACTGATCACCCCACTTTACAAATCACCACAGTTCCTGCTAAGCCTCTTCCAGCCATTCCTCTGACAATGGCTTCTAACCACAGAGATACTTCAGCTTCACACACTCAGGTCCTCTTGTCATAGCTGCCCATGCAACACTCTTGTCAAACTACACCACCATCTCCTTTCAGCCTCCCTTGCAGAACTCGACTGGATGCCCAGATTCTCTTCATTTTATAACCACTTCTACAGACAGAATACAAAACACCTTTTCCAACAGTAAATCTATTGTTGTGTTCATATTTTTTGCCATCGGAATGTATTTATTGATGCACTGTCAGGCTGTGCTTGCGACATCTGTGATTGGTCTCACCTTCCTCCCCATGCCTCAATTTTCATGATATTTACTCTCCAACTGCTCTTGCTGCTCCCTCCTTAAGCCCACTTGTCCCAAGCAGATCCCTGATCATATGAGAGCCAGTCCAGGTTTGTCACCATCATCATGCTCTTCCAGTTGGTGGGGGCAAAAATTCGAGGAGTGGTTAATGCTCCTACATTTATGGCTCTACCCTGTGTGCTGACCTGACACTCATTTTCCACAGTCTAATGGAAGTCCCAGCTGTTCTCATTGCAATCTCCAGCCCTAAGGTATCCCTGAAGGTCTCGTTAACAATTTCTGTGCTTTCCAGTCATGGCTGCTGTCTTCTGCTCCATCCTATGATGCTGTTGCCAGCTGCCTTCTCCCTCCACAGATGTAGTTGCTCCTTAACATCTCAATCCCTTACCCCATTCCTGCTTTCCTCGTGCACCTGTTGTCTCCTCTGGAGCACCCGTCCTTTGAGGGTTCCTGTAGCAACATTTTCTCTCCCCGAGCCCTGATGATCATGTCCCTTCTGCAGTGCTGGTCATCCCTCTGCAGGTTGTGGCCAGCTTCTTCCTTTGCTTCAGCTTTCGGCGATGCCCTAGAGCTAGATGCCAGCCCCATGCCGCTTCTTGAGTGCTCTGAAATTTTTCACTGCAGCCTCTTCTTTAGGGACCTCCTCATGCACCACCTGTCTCCAGTTCTCTTTGAGTTGCCTCCAAATTCGTGGCCTTTGTCTTTCCTAGACAGGCTTCCATTTTCTCTGGGAGGCTGCCCACCTTGGCCAGCATTTCTTCTTACATTTACCTTAGAGTGTCATCCATTTTTCACAGATTGGCTTTCATTTCTTCCAGCAGGCATGCCATAATTTGTTCCACTTCCATAGAGTGGTGGCATAACAATCAAAATTCAATGCAGTGTTCAATCCAACCACGTCTGACACCAGAATGTCATAATTTATGCCCGTATAGACAGGGTATGGATTGGTGAATGGATTGACCACTTATACACTTGGAACTACAAGTAATTAGAGCGATACTGCTAATCTCCACACTTTACAAATCACCACAGCACCTGCTGTCTTCATTAGCCGTTCCCTGGCAATGGCTTCTAGCAGTGAAGATTCTTCAGCATCACATGGTCAGGTCCTTATCACAGCTGCCCATGCAAAACTCTTTGTCAACTGTCAAATGAACCATAGTGCCCACTCTTCTCAGCCTCCCTTGCAGAGCTCACCTGACTGGTTGCCGCCAATTTCCTTCTTTTTATAATCACTTTGCACGGACCGTGTAGGAAACACTTTCCAACAGTAACTCTGTTTTTGTTTGTATTCATCGCCATGGGAACGTGTTTACCAAGCCATTGCCTAGAAACAGGCTTATTGCATAGCAACAGCTGTACATTTATCTACAGATACAAGCTAAATAAAAGTTAATAGTTTAAAAGAAACATTAAAACGATTTCTGTCCTTACATTCAAGGATGCAGTTGGGCAAACAGTAATTACTGTACTCATGGCATCTTTTGTGAGTTAAACTAGAACTACTGAATACAGTTCATGCTATAAAAATTCAGTCATCAGTGTACAACAGTTCAGCAAAGATTCCCCATGAGCACCATTTTCAGTGGTGAGGTGCAGACAAATGAATTAGTTTCAAAGTTACCTTACGCCTTTACCGTAAGCTGTCCCAGAGGTTATTGAAGGATGTCATACAGTTCAGTGCATTACTAAAAACTAGAAAAATTTTTCATTTAAAAATGCACTCCGTGTTTTCAGTTTTCCAGAGGGTTAAGGTAAAGTTATCCCTGGGCTTAATTACTTAAGCACCATGCCATGAAGGTACATGTGGAGTGGAGGTATAGCTCCACCATTCTCAACGTCAGCATTGGATGGAGGTGAGTGGTCAGTTGCATGTCCCTGACCCATTACTCCCAGCCATTGTACCCACTGGATAGGAGGACAGGTGGGTCCCAAAGTCAATCTCGATGTTATGGTGAAGAGAAAAATCTCTCTTGCCCGTGCTGGGAATTGAAAATTCTCAAAGAATCTACTAGTTGATCATCTTCCTGTCCATTTCTTTTCTTGTGAAACCAATCAGAAGAACACTACACAACAGGATGGGGACTGTGAAAAGGGGTTGACTGTAGCTGTCTGCTTTTCAGATGTTTCCAGCTGGATTATGCGACACAAAACCATACTGATAAGTGTTGAGAAGTGACCTTAAAGGTCAGGCAACTAGCTAGCTAGCTCTCTGTCTTCATACACTGACCACAGTTCTTCTACCTTGTTTACATACCACCTGTTTCTTAAACCTCTCATTTTCTTTGGCTACATGATAAAACATGACAACATAATGCACTGAACTAATCAGTACAAAAACATCTCATACTACTGCCAAGCAATAACTGAGGGCCACAGATGAAGAATGCCCCAAACCCCTGTTGTGGCTGGGTGTTGTATTTCCCTGTGAAGCTCAAGTTAATAAGGAAAGGAATGGATTTTATTAGCCTGTTATTCTAATGGAGGTTAAAATCAGAGAAATGTATACATCTGTTTGTGCCCCTAAGGTAATACTGCTGATCTTCATATGCAATATTCTCTGAGTAATTCGACTAAGACTGCACCCCTGTTAACACCAATATTACTATCAATGACCTAATGGTAAGATTCAACATGTTATGGTGCAACAGCATATTTCTTCGATGTCAAGGAGACTGCACCAGCAAATTTCAAACACGTACACTTGAAATAAGACACATCTTACATTCAGGTTAAAGCAATATTATATTATAGGAGATATGGCTTCTGAATAAATAATAAAATCAGGTGGTCAAGGATGCATAATTACACATATGCATCCCATATTACTACTTATCATTTAGTAATGGTGATGGCACAATTAAAAAATCACTGATAATTTGTTTCCATTCCACTACTATCGTCTCTACTCTCTGGTGTTCAATCCAACTATTACCATGAAAATAAAATCAGATCATTCTGCACTGAAAAGCAACAAGAAGGCATGTCTACAGTGTTCACTGTAACAAGAATTGTTCCATTCATCTGGCATCAGAATTTCACTCATGCAGTGAGACAACCAACTGTAAAATACTGAAAATGGCAAAAAAAAATCATATGTATATAAGTTTACATATCTTCATCCTCTCTTTCTTTATCCTTGTCCTTCTGCCTTTCTTTCTTTGTCTTTTTAATTTTCTTGCTGAGTGGACAGTAATAGACTCTGTGACGTGACAATTCCATTGATCTTCGGAACGTCTCATGACAATCCATACATGCAAACGGTTTGTACGGTGTGTGTTTTTCTTTGTAATGTAAATTTATGTTACTCTTAAATTTAAATGCTCCAGTGCAATAGATACAAACAAATGGCTTGGAAAGGTCCGTTGTTGCCGTAACATTACTAAGCTGTGCACCACAATTTACTTTGCTTCCAAAACCCAACTCTACTGGAATCTGCATTGTCAAAATTTCAGGACGATGGCATGACCGTACATGCATCTTCAAAGTCTCCATATCACCATATCTTTCACTGCAGTAGCAACACTCATAAGCAATGCTACCATCAGCTGATGCTTGTATTATTCCAACCCGCAGCTTCTCTCCAGGGTTGAACACAGATGGATCATCATCGTAGATTGTTCTCCTCTCCCGTTCTTCCTCCTCAGATGTCTGTTCTTTCCCTCCTTCCTTATGAACCTGGTTTCCATTTTCATTTGTTCCAGATTCATTCATATCCTCACCCAGCTGCTTGCTTGTGCCAGCATCTCCATCAGGTTGCCCTTGACGCCATGTCTTCTTTGCTCGTTCAGCCTAAAACCAAAACATAAAGATAAGAATGTGCCAATTAATTTCATACCTCATACACATTTCTATCTCAAGAAGTCCAACCCTTCATCTTAAATGAACTAAATAGCATCTTCTGACATTCCTTTAAAAAAGAAAGGGGGAAAACCACTCCAGGGTATAAATTTCTTACATGTCATACAGAGTTTCAAATTGTAACATCTAAAAAATATGAACTATGCTAGAAAGCCATAACTGAAAGTACCGTTGACAAATTAAATAAAGGTATTATCTGCAATCATAAAGAAGACACACTTCAAAACTAAAAAAATTACAACAGTCTTGACACATTTACTGCCAACACTGACTTAGTTGTTTTTGTGCAACTCTCCTCTCATAACTCACCTTCAACTAGTGCCAAGGTCAAGAAAATGTGGATCTAAATAGCTACTCCCCCATACACCTTCATGGCATAGTGCTTAATTAGTTAAGCACAGGGACAACTTTACCTTACTTAATTATAACTTGAATTTGATCATAAATGATCTCATCACCAATGAATATTAAGCTGCTTGAATGGCAGTTTTGATCTTTCCCTATCTCCATAATTACTTGCATTTCTGAATGAGGTAACGCACTTGTGAGATATGGCAGCTGTATCAGATCACAGTGGATTTCTGATGTACCATTATCAGTTTTGTTTGAGGGTTCCACTACAGTTCCACTGTAGCAATTAAAATATTTTAGTAGCACTAATTGCAGATAAACTGCAGAAATAGCAAATAACAGTAATTCTCAGAATTACTGGGTTTTTGGTCTTTTTACATTGTCTGGTATTCTAGAAAACGGGAAACACTGACATTTTGGAAACTGGATCGGTTTCTGTCCTCAGGTGAGGGGGGAGGGAAGATACCTACTCATTTGGGCCCCTTAGAAAGAGCTAATCTCAGTCACCGTGTATTATACACCATCGTCAGAACCGTTTAGAACCAACAGTAATTCTGATAACAATTATATACATGAATCAAGTCCATCAGAATCATCATCAAAAGACAATGAATATGACATTTTGAGAATAACCAGATGGCTTAGGTTATCCAGGAGCACCCCACAATTCCACTTTTTTTAAATTACGTTATTTATTATGAACATGGTGGCCTACGACATTTACATTATCATATATATACTAGGACGACAGTGTCCAAGTTACAGAAGTCTTGTGAAGGACTTGGTTGAAGACATCTGTGGCAAAACCTAAACACAAAGAGTGGGCATGATCCTGGTGCAGGCCCTCCTTAAAACCTTTGAAATTATACACAGAAGTAAAATCCCTATAACAAACAACATGGAATACAAAATTAATTATTCTAGTTTCAAAATGTCCCTGTCAATCTATCTATGGTGAGTTGAAGTCCCATGGCCAGACTTAGGATACTGAAATAATATGGAAAAGAAAATGTAAACAAAGTTATCTGATATATATTGGTCAAATTGGAAGTAGTTTTGTTCCATCACTACTTTCAATATATATGTTATTTCATTTTGAATACTGAATTGAATTTCTGTGTTATCTAATATATTCTTAATTATGTTTATGATGTGTTTTCTTGGTATGTATGGCAGGTGTACATATTTTTGATATTGAAGGAACATATTCTCATATCGATATTCAGTTTAGTGGTTTTTAGCTCCATCATAAGGGGGATGGAATTGCGCGCACTGTATGTGTATGGAAAATTTAAGTAGTTTTGTAGTGTTTCTGTTAATTGCTTTGCTATTTAATATGTTGGCACAGTCTTCCAATTGATTAGAGGTGTAATAGGTGTGTTTGGTTTATGTACTTTTATTGTCGCATGCATGCTTGGGGCCATGGGATTCCTGTTTGTGCATTTCCATACTTTCTTTTTATATTGTTTACACATTGTTTTAGTGTTTGTTTGAACCCTTTTAGGTAGCACTGGGTTGGACTGTTATGAATTGGATGTCTCGTATAAATGCTTTCGTTTTTTGTTTATACTCTTCTTGTGTGAGTATTGTTAGTGTTTTCCCTTTATCTGCTTTGTTATTACAAGTTCGTTTGTTCTCATTTTACTTTTTATGATAGTTATTACTTTCCATTCTGTCTTGTTATTCTTATTTATTGTATTATTGCGTTGGCTAATATTTTTTAGGTTTTTGCAACCGTATGTCTATAGTAATTTTGTTCCATCACATCTAACTGGCTAATTGCTGTTTCTGCTTCAAGAGCTAATGTTTCAATCCATTTTTTGTTTGTGTTTTTAAGCCTTTACTTAATAGTTGTATTTCCTCATATGTGAACTGTATGTTTGTATGATTTTCTACTCTATTGTAGTTTGTGTTATTGTGTGCCATATTTTCTATTTGTTTATTTAACTCGTGTATTTTGTGTTGTTGCTTATGGTGCACTTCAGTCATTTCTTGTAATTTTTGGTTTATGGATTGTTCAATGTTATTCCAAGTGTGCTGCCATTATGTTTGTGTTGTATAAGTGGATTTGGTATAGCTGTGTGTTTAATTTTTGTTACTTTCTATATAAGAATTTTATTTCATTTTTATTATATATGGTTTGTGTCTGTGTTAGTGTTTTTCTTTCCGCTTATTATCAGTTAGTATTTTTATTTGTGCATATTTTGGTACTAGCCCCATTCTTAAACATGTTTTGTTAAAATTTATATTAGCGTTACAGTGCATTAAACTTGATCAATCACATCCTTGTAGCTGTGACAAACATGAGGCACCAACCTAAAGAGTTGGTTTGCGTTAGGAACTCCATTCAGCATCATTATGAAGCATGCAAGCACACTAGAGAAGATAACTCTGAGCAGTTCTAGTGAAGAAATATGTAGAACTGTGCAAGCCTCCATTACATTCCAAGGTCACAAGATAAGAAATAACTTTCCTTGACCACAAAAGAGTCAGAAAAAGAGAAAGACAAAACTGACCTCTCAGACACTAACTGACAATGATCACAATGCAATTTCTTGGCTCTATAAACTCATTCTCATGCTGTCAAAATGATGCCCTAAAGATGAAAGGTACAGGATAATGGAAAACCACAAGCTCACTCCAATCCCTGCCACCAAAGGTGACATAGTCACTAAGCCATTAAAATGTCATAAAAATATGTCACAAGGGAAATGATTTGTGTGGAATTCCTTGCATCATGAAAGATGCCCCAAATTCTGATTATGGAGACTTAAGTTCCTTCAAGTACTTCAAGACCCATATTTATGTTTAAAGCCCTGGCATATTAAGGATCTCAAAATCCCAGCAGTCAATATGTTAAAATTATAGTATCTGAGATCTAAAAATATATCCATTTTGATGCAGTTTGCTGGGTTATGACAATGTGTATACGCTGCTGCCCCCATTGTCAGAAAACTGAAACAGCAGGTTCCACCAAAATATTTGTAACCACGTATGAGGCTACAATAACCCAGAAGATAACTAAATTTTCACCCCTGTAAAAACCACATTTACATCCTTAAATATAAAATGATGATTGCAAAAACATAACATTTTTGTAGGATATATCAAACTTCATTAAAAAATACTTGCGGAGTGAAAGAAACTATGTTAACATTCTGAAATGCTGTATCTCAAACCCAGTTCATTCAATTACTTACTTTACATGTTTATAATGAAACAAAACAAAGAAAAAACTCCATGGTTTTTGTCTGCAAGCAAACTGTACCAACCTAGCGACTGCCGCTTGTCAGCAAAGTTAGTACATGTTTATAATCCACTCAAAATCAATATAAATATGACTAAATGTGAAACCATTCATGCATGTTCAGACAATGATCTACCAGGTTTAGTTTATCTTCTCTTATCCTGTATAATGAAACTTTAAAATAAGATGTCATCCTTAAAGGCCTGGGTTTGTACCAATGCATATCAACCTTTCAGACGGCTGTATATGAACACAAACATTTTTAATATGCACCTACCCTTGCTTTTTCTCTTTTAGCTTCTAAAGCTGCCTTCTTTGCTTCAGCTGCAGCTTTCTTAGCTAAAGCTGCTGCTCTCTTCATCTCAGCTGCTACTTTCCTTGCTTCTGCAGCAGACTTTCTGGCCTCTGCTGAAATTTTCTTGCGTTTAGGTGTCTTCTCCTTCCTGTTGTAAGTTGACGGTCGCTTCGGAATTTTAAATGTACCAGATTTGCGGCCTCTTGTGGTGGTTGTAATAATAACTGGAGATGGTGACCTGTCATCGTCACTGGAGTCAGAATTACTTGAAGCTGCTGCTGGTGGTGGCAGGGGTTCTGGTGATTTCTGCTTGTTTATTCCATTAGTACCAACATATTTAGCTGCCAGATTATCCCTTATGTTTTGTAACTGATTTTCAAGCACATCAAACTGATCTACCAAATGAAAACACGGTAAACAAATCACCATTGACATTTCAGTATCCGGTGGTATCCATTTATCACGCAGAATAGTTTTTAATTTTTCCCTCACTAGAGTTTCACTTTGACTGGTCCGAGAAGTAACCAGTGTCATATCAACATAATTTGCAAGTGAGTCTGTCCCACAGACTAAACAGTGATGGTTCATATTAGATGTATGGAAATTCATAGCCTCTTCCATGATCTCAGCTGCACTCTGTATAAATTTTAAAGAACTAATTTTTCCGACAACTTGGCAGGTTAGGTTGAAGCAGCCTTCAAAAGGCCTACTGACGCCACTTAATGCACACTTAGTATACACTTCAAATCTACAGCACTATTCGTTACGATTACACTTGTAAATCACAATGTATGCCGATTCCTTAAAAACAGTAGCAGCTGGTTCTTAACCCTACTTTTTATTATTTATTAGTTGTACATAAGACTATTCCCTCCTTATGTTTTTACCGACGCCCGACAAGCTGCCAGTGTTGACTGTTGATACATCTACTCACTCAAAAATTCCCTCAGCGTTTTCCGTAGACCCACAGTGTTAAAATGATATTTACGTCCCTCTGATCAAAAACGTATGTGTAAAAAATTATAAAACCGGAGTACTGGTGTCAGGGTAAGTTAGTGGTAATGTGTGGTATATTTATTCTGATAGTTCATCAAAGATATATGTTTAGCAAGTTACCATTCAATGTTACCGGTACTGTTAAACGATTGTTCCAGAGTCAAAGGTCGATGTTCGCTAAATTTCCCTGCTCCCAAGACACAGGGAAATTTTCGTACTCTAGCGAGACGTGTTGATTCGTCATCCATCACAGGAGCAAATTTATTTATTTGCAGGAACCATTTACATTTCTGCTGTTCAGGTACACTTTGGATATAATTTGTAGGTGACAAGAGTTCTTTGTTTCAGTTGCGCGAAACGTTTTGAGGTTTTTTAGGCATGATGGAAACCAGTATGTCCATTGTGAAGTGAAAGAAATTCTGAACATTCAGCTTTAAGCATCCAGTTACGTTAATGGGTAGTTTTGATTGAAGATTATTTGATTCGATGTAAAGATGTCTGTAATTGATAACGAATTCCGTATCGATTGGTATCCCTAGTGTTCAGAGGGAAGGCAAGATACGTTTAAATGTGCTAAGTAGTTCTTATTCGTGGGTAATTTAACGTCACTTATCGACTCCTTTGCTGTGTAGCATTAAACGAAAGACGTTACGACAGTTCGGAGTGCCCAATTAGGATTACGGAAAGGGTAAATATAAATTTCTGGCTCAAATATTCAAATTTCTGCCTAACTCTTTGTATCATGGCTGATAGTCTCTGTTGTGCTGTTTCCTATAAATGCTAGTAAGTGATGCTTCAAAGGCCGCGCCATAGCTCAAGTGGTTAGTCGCTGGCTTCTCGCAGCGGCAGCCCGGGTTCGATCTGGTCAAGTGGGATTTGTGGTGGGCAAAGTGGGGCTGGGGTGGGTTTTTTCCGAGTACTTCGGTTTCCCCTGCCAATCTTCATTCACCAAATTCTCCATCATCATAATCACCCGGGGAATATACAATAGGCCAATCAGAGACCGCGGTGCCGTCTGGACCCAGCTGGACTCCACCCCCCACTAAGGGAAGTGTTGCTTTAAAGCAGACAGCATAGTAGATCCTTAAGCTGATACCGGAAGTCTAAGAAACTACAGTCTAATTTTATCAGTTCAATGGCTGGAATGGAAGATGATTAATTTCACTACAGCCTACATTTTATAACAGTATAACTATAAGTAGTGCATGTCTTAACATTACACCACAAGTCTTCAGATGTGTGAACCATTCATCTCCGAAACATTATTGTCTCATTTTTGTAATATTTTTATTTAGTATATAACATAGGCTCAGTGTTTACGAAAAAGCGGTGTTAAGTGAATGAATGGGGTTTAGTAATGGAATGTGTATAGAGATCGATTAGAAAAATATTGTAAAATTGTATTTACACTGTGTAATCTAGTTTCTGACCGTGCCATATCTTGAGGTCGAAGAAACTAATTCTTGTTAGTGAAAATAATTTGTCTATTTTGTCACAAGGACGATTGAACATGATGATTCTTGTAGAAGTATGGGCTTCAATTTTGTTTCTTTCTACATTATTCTAATTCCTTTGTGCAGTTTTGAAATTTCCTCCTCGAATCGATGTATAAATTATGTTTATAGCACGTCTGAGTCTTTGTATTATTTTACATAAAATATTTTTCTATGCTTCAATAATTAAGACCACAAAATTACCTGACTTCTTACAGACGGCTCCACGTAAATCATAAAAATGCAGGCCTGTTCTGTGCAAGAGCGGCTGCCCGAGAGAATAATGAATGTAGGCCTAACAAGTGAGGTAAGTTCGCAGATATGCTATTGAAACCATCGAAACATTCATGTAAAAAGATCCGTTAAACCTAAGCCCATAAGCCCTGAATTTTTCTACAATTAAAATGGGGTAATCAATTGTTTATATACATGTCAGGTGGTTTGACGCTGGTTTCTCACCGCGTATCCTCGGGCCCAATTTCGGTCCATTTTACGTGAGATGAAGTGGCACTGGAGAATGTTTCTCTCGAGAGTTTCTTCGGTACTGTCCTGTTAATCAGATCGCCTTTGCTCCGTACTACATGTGCGACAGCCCTGACCAGGCAGTATATTATCGCATCCCCGGTCTTTAAAACTATAGACTCATCTTTGACCCAGCATGTGACCAGTTACAGAGTAAGGAATATAATTAGTTAGTATATAGAGCCTTTGAAATAGGCTATACCTCAGAAAAAAGACATGTCCAATACAATATTCATTTTATGGAACTCGAAGGTTCATTACCGTGTTCACAAGAGCCCTCCAGCGGTCCCTGTCCTGAGCCAGATCAATCCAATCCATACCATCCCATCCTATCTCTCTAAGATCCATTTTAATATTGTCCACCCACCTACGCCTTGGTCTTCCCAATGGTCTCTTTCTTTCTGGCTTTCCCACCAATATCCTATATGCATTCCTCTTCTCCCCCATTCGTGCTACATGCCCTGCCCACCTCATCCTCCTTGACTTGATTATTCTGATTATACTTGGAGAAGAGTACACGTTATGAATATTCGTATACCGAATCAAATATTATCAGCAAAATCTAGAGAACTGTTAGATATGTCTCGAAGTAGAAGACACTTGCAGAACGTAGAACAATCTCTCATTAGGGAAGTGTTTAACAAATACATCTTAGACAAAGGACAATGACCAAAATAATGTTGGTATAATGAATGCTAATTCTATGATTATTGTAATTCATAGGAATCAGCAATGAATTTTCGTCGGCATCGGTTTTTAAGTAGAAGAATTTGACACTGTATACCGTAACGTCGAAGAATATCACCGTCAGTCTCTTCTTATAGAACACATGAAATTAATCGACGTGTATTCATTTGTATAGATATGTTGTTTTGTACTTCATTTATTTATTTTTCGTTTATTTAATGAAACTTTCAAAGGCATCAAATGATATAATAATTAGACAGGACTGGGAAGGAAATTTTATAACTCTACGCGAACTATGAGGGACAGAATTATTATATGATATGAATAATGCACCGGGAAAAAAATGGACGGAAATGATCCTGGCCTAATTCAAGGCATTATCCTGCAACTTGCCCGTAGAGACTGAGTAAACCCACTAAAACACTCAGTATAGTCAGTTTTGCTTCCGAGATTCGAAGCAGATACCTCAAGAATATAAACCAGAAGCGTTAGCACGTGAGCCAACATCATTGGTGCTAGGAACTGTTCGTAGCTTGTAAGTACTAAAGAAAAATTTAAAGCCCCGGTCAAGGTGGCTGGTCAACGGGCCGAGATTTGAACCTATCATCTTCGACTAGGCCACTTATGGTTAGTAGTGACGTAGTTGTGGGTAAGGAGAAGGACCATATATGCTTGTCTACCGCAAGTACGGTATTTAACATAATTGAGATGGATCAGAAGCTGGTAAATTAAAGCGAATAACGCTGTTGTTATTAGTCCTCTTTGTAATCGTTATATGCATGTCTGCGCACTTACAGATCTTAAAGTCTTGACTGTTGTAATTTGTATATAACCTTTTCGAAGATCTCTGCTGTAGATCATGTCGTTTAGTCGTTAGCTTCGCTCCCATTGGTTCCTTGATAGTACTGAACTTTTTGCTTGGACTTACAGCAATTAACCACTTTAGAGTAACGTATATGGATCGTAATTTCTCTAGAGATTCTAGGAGTGGATAGCAAATTGGGCTTCAAGCGAAAGTTAATTATATGAGAACGCGACCAATTAACGAAAGAATATGGTCATGAGAAGGCTTATAAATTTATGGTAACAATGTAATATTAATATCCTGCTCATAATACGCTTCGAACTAATCAGAATAAGCAAATAAATATTCTATTTTATTCTCTTACAATTATATAACCCGTTTGTTTACGATGGTCGCGCTGTCACCATGAGAATATTAAGGGGACAATTACATCAGGGCTAGTAAACCATTGGCACAGGCGCCAATGTACCAAGTTTGCCATCAATAGTTATGAGTTGGTTATTACAAGTTTTGTTTATGTTAACAAGAGCCAATTCTAAATCGTGGATGTTCAAGAGTCACCTTTCGTTTGGTTCTTAGTTAATCAAACTTCAGCATTTCACGAAGCCATAACGCTGTATGGTATATTTTTAACTTGTTTATTTTCTCCTCTATNATATATATATATATATATATATATATATATATATATAATTTTTACCGTCAACGCAACAGTACCTTATTTATTTATATAGCACGCACTACATGTTTCGACCTCAAATGAATCATCTTCAGGTGTTGCAATTTTCTCATATGCTATTATCGAACTGCAACGTTAATATTCACATTTTTATAAATGGTTCGTACAAGTTAGTTTCCATTCAATTCACACACTACACAAAACTTAGTCCGTACTTTAGTTAAAATTAACAATATAATACAATGAAATATGAATAAAAATCGTACTTATGATAAAGTCGTGTACATAAAAATAGGTTAAACCTAATTTAAAAATTAGGTGATCTTAAATCTAAAATTTTATATTTAAAAATGATCTAAAATGATCTTTCAGAATGTTATAAGCTGACAGTAGCTTCGTGTTTCTTACTGCAATAGACCACGCATAGGCTTTGTCAAATTTCTTCTGCTGTTTGCTGCACTGGCTCGCCGTGTTAGTATCGTAATATTACCATTTTGCTAGAGAAGAGATCCCTTTCTTTCATATTGTTGGGAACCGGCAGTTAATGTGTTCTGTTCATAGTATTCTCCTCTATGTGTTCCCTCTGAATACCGAGAAAAAGATAGGCTACCTGTAAACAAAACGCAATGTTTTATTGTGTTGTCAAATATTTTGAAATGTGAAGTAAGTGAAATCAAATTTTAGAAGCCTCTTATAGACGAAATTAGTTGCATTTGTGTTATTTTAAAGCCACATAGAAGCTGACGATTGAAGAGTCGTTTATACTGCGTCTGAAACATATCTACGGTCACGTCGTACTCTTGTAGGCAACCTTTCTGAAGAAAAGCTCTGTGTGTTCAACGAGACCGTCAGCATTGAGATTTTTGTTCCCGCCATGTGTTGAAAACAGAATCTAGTAACTTTCTAATGATGACGTAACGTTCTGTTACTATCTGATGATGATTCACCCTCAAAAATATTTTGGAATCACGATAAGATATGTGAACAAATAATTGGTTATCTTCTGCTATAAATTTGGCAGTACGCACTGGAAATTTTCGCTATCCGTGAGTAAATGGAGAGGCAATGAACAATTGAAACGCATCTGCTGTCTCCTGAGATGTATATAGTTTATTAGATGGTTACCGAAATTACGGAGGGACATTGGTAACCATGTATCAAATTACACGGCGTCAAATCCCAGATAGCAGCAGTCTTATTACTAACCACAGTGAAAATTTCAATTCTCATATTAACTACAGTGCGGTCGCATTTTATGGAATGCGATTTACGCAAATTTGAAATAGTGAAATAGTATATTAATGAAATCTCATATTATGAGCAAATTTTTAATAATGCGAATTTATTCTTATGAGAAAAATTGTCTTGAATTATGAGAGTTTTTCAGGAGCGCATCCCTCGCATAAAATGCGACGACACTCTATTCCATTTCAGGAAAATGCATACAATTTTTCAGCGAACTAGAGCTTACATACGTATAGAAGAACAAAAATACAGGTTAAGACAAATTGGAAAGTTGGAATGTTTTCAAACCGTGCAGGAGGGACCCATTATAATGAGACTCTGTGGCTCACAACAGAGACACTGCCCTTAGGAACAGTGAACACTGAATTCTAACGGATGAAAAGTCAATATTAAACACAAAAATGATAATACTGTAACGGATTTGATCAACGTGTTGCTAGTTAACAGTTCCGTATACACGGTCCAACACTCAACAATAGAAGAAGCTGTGTTTTCTGTCGATCCGACCGACGCACCCATATACTGGCTGGATAGCGATCATGTGATGTGTTTACTGTAAGCCGGTGTCCGTGCCTCGGCTATATAAGTGAGTAGAATTCCTAATCTGGTATAGTAGCGGCAGAAGCACGCGAACAAGCAAGCAAGCAGTAAGCTCAGGGGGTACAGAAGAGTACAAGAGATCAGCCTGTGAAGATTTAATGTGTGATTTGAAGACTATATGTGGTATGGTGCAGTGATATTGGAAGTGTGTGATTCAGAGAGGCTTTTATAGTTCCTGTGTTATAAATCCGTGAAGACTAGTGGAAATAGACTGAAGAGATTAGCGCGGAGTGCTTTGTATTGTGGAAATCAGAAAGTGTTATAATTAATTGTAGTTACGACCTGTAACCTGTAGTCAGTAAATCCAATTACCAATCCTAACTCCGCCTTTAGTCACTGTGGCACGTGACAATATATATGAACTATTGTGTCGAAGCATCATGTTGTTTTCGTGGTTAATCTGTAGAAGTTCCATCAGCATAACCATTTGATACAACTGCATTAATTTTACGAACTCCTCATTGTAGCAGCATGTTACCGCCTAATGGCCATCATCAGGATGCTTGTACATTTAATGTCAGTTTAGCTGTTTTGGCTGTACCTTGAGCAAAGGAGTCGGACTAGTTCGAACGGTATAGCGATAGGCTAAGGGCTGGACGGCCCGAGTTCGGTTCCCGGCAGTGCAAGATTTTTCTCTTCTCCACAGAGTACAGACCGACTCTGGGGCCAACCCAGCATCCTATCCAGTTGGTACCGGAGGTTCTTTTCCGGGGGGGGGGAGGTAAAGCAGCAGGGCTTGAATCTCACCACTCACCCCTATCTAGTGCCGAGATCAAGAAAGGACAAGGTATACCTCCGCTCCCCCATATGAGCTAATGGAATAGAGCTTAACTAATTAAGCAGAGGAATAACTTTATATTTTTAACTTATATTCGCCAATGTTTAAAATATTTGACTCTATATATATATATATATATATATATATAATACGCAGCCTGTGTAGTGACGTCAGCATTCACTAGAGCCCTAAACACAATCGGCGTTCCCTGGTCAGAAGGGTTGAAGCTAAATATATCGATGATTTCGATTATCGGGAAATGACAGTAGCAAACCATAATTGCATTTCCAAAGAGATTAAGGACATATAAAAGTCGGGGAATACTTGCTACCACGCAGTTCAGAACCTTCTATATGTATTTCGGCTACCTAGACATAAAAAGAAAATAACACAAAACTTGAATTTTTCCTGTGCAGATGGCCATCTACCTGAGAAGTTGAACTCGTTATGGACCTCTAAAGTGGAACCTGTTCCTTCGACACCCTTACCATCAATGAAAAACAAGAAAAATGGTAGCCATCTACCTGTTTAAGGTATGACCCACATATGAGGAATGGTTTATTCTCCTTTCCCACAGCACTTAACGAGAGGCAGTTGGATACGCAACTCCCCTGCAGTTAGTAGAGCAGTCTCCATGTTACTGCTACTGTGCTTCGAAAAGGGAGAGTGAAACACCGGCATTGAGACTACGAGGTTTAATAGCCGTTGAGCGCAACCTCCACATCTTCAGTCGCAGTCCATTCGTGGACTAAGAAAGATGCTTTGTTTTTGTAGAGGACTGTTGCTTCCACCAGCGTGACAGATTTGCATTACGTCAGCAAGTATAGAGTTCTGTAAATTAGCTTCGAACGTGTGCCAAATGATTTGATAGCGGAGTTTCGGGACAATGGTTTGTGAAGTAATTGAGTTTGGTTTATAATCGTTAAAAAGACGTGAACTGAACTTGACTTTGAAGAATTTCTTATTTGGTATTACTGCAGACTTCTAAAAGTATCTGTTGAATATTTGGATGTTTGGGACTTCATGAGTGTTTGTGTTTCGGAAATGAAGTGGAAAAATAATAGCGCTGAAGGCCGTGGTAACGGTTGTAGCCATGTCTGGACCACAGTGATATTGCTAGAGATGATTTTAGCCACACATGTACTGCTGGTTGCGTCAGAAGGGGACATCACGAGGGCAGATGCTATTGCAGAAGGAGTTTCGAATATCCCACAGGTTTGATTTATATATAACTTGTACTAAGCATCTTACACTTCATTAACGTTTCATTAACGTGGGCTCTCGGGCCCACCCAGCGTCCTATCCAATGGTTACTGGGGTCTCTTCCCTGGGGTAAAACGACAGGGGCGTGAAGCCGACCAATTCAAGAAACAAATGCTCTAACGTATTTAAAAACTGTCAGCCAGAGCTAACTAACTAACCCCGTGGGGATGAACCTTTCTTGACAAGCTGCAAGTTGCACAGCTACTCAAGAATTTTCCAGAATTTTATCGAACCCGAAGGTTTATTACAGTGTTCACATGAACCCCCACTGGTCCCTATCCTGAGCTAGATAAATCCAGTCCATACCATCCCATCCTATCTCTCTAAGATCCATTCTAATATTGCCTACCCACCTACGCCTTGGTCTTCCCTGTGGTCTCTTTCCTTCTGGCTTTCCCACCAATATTCTATACGCATTCCTCGTCTCGTCTCCCCCATTCGTGCTACATGACCTGCCCACCTCATCCTCCTTGACTTGATCATTCTAATTATACTTGGAGAAGAGTACAAGTTATGAAGCTCCTCATTATGCAGTTTTCTCCAACCTCCTGTGATTTCGTCTCTGTTAGGTCCAAATATTCTCCTCAACACCCTATTCTCAAACACCCTCAGTCTATGTTGATTCCTTAATGTCAGAGACCAAGTTTCACACTCATACAGAACCACAGGCAAAATTATAGTTTTGTATATTCTAATTTTTATGTTTTTGGACAACAGACGAGAAGACAAAAGGTTCTGGACTGAATGGTAGCAAGCATTACCTGAGTTCAGTCTCCTCTTAATTTCCTCCTGAATCAGGTTTCGATCTCTTATCGTTGTTCCCAAATATCTGAACTGTGCCACATTTTCAAAACATATGTTTCCTGACTTTATGTCATGGTTTTGTCCCCCACTAAGCGGATTTAATTTATTTCTAGGTTGGTAACCCTTATTAAATTAATTTATTTTTCTATACGAGTCTCTAATATTCTTGCTCTTACTGTTCGTTGCAAGCTCATTAATTTTGTCTTTCAGATATTCCCTCTTTCTTTCCTGAAATGCCGCTCGTTTCGCGTCTTATATTCAGATTATTCCCATTTAACTCGCGTGGATCCTGTAACCATTGCAATTTGGCCTGTTTTCTCTGATCAAATAACTCTGAGCATCTTTCGTTGAATTATGGCTTATGCTTCTTCAGTTCATAATAACCCAGACTTTCCTTGGCAGTCGGAGCTCTTAATCGTGAAACTAGAGCACTTTTTGCATGTAATGGGTCCGAGTTTGTTATACAGCCAGTTCAGATTGGTTACTGCAATGGTCTGTTTTTTTTAAGTTCTTGGCAGCCTGAAATTCATCCAAATAATATTCAAACTTTCAATTCCTACCTCACAGAAACACACCACGTATCCATTACAAAGAACAATCGGTTAAAGCTGTTTAAGGAAATAACCGCCGTTTATTCTGAGAATCATACGGAACTTATAAATCTATTTTGTAGGCAAAATATGTTGTTTTTATATTATTTCAGACGGTACATATATGGTAACCATTGTTCCTCAAAGGGGTAATCCCACAGTTTTCACTGTAATGCATTCATATTATTTTAACGATAATTATCAGCGATTCAGAACAAACCGAGGTCAATTTCTCCGTTTATAACCAATTAAAATACATGGTCGGAAGTGTACATTGATATAAGCTTCTTTTCATGTTGTTCCCGACGCATCATTCGTAACCGTTCTGACGCATCTAATTCAATTATATATAACCAAGGCAGCTGATACAACATCGCGAAATAACTAAATAAACACTACTTATGTTTTCGAACCAGGGGCGTGAAAAAGTCGGCCTGTGGGGCGAATTTACTTAACAACACTTTAGAATCGGCCCACCGTAACATACTTGGATTCTAACAAAACACGTTAGAATTAGGCCTGTATATTTTCTGTGTAGCTTATGTTATTAATATAATTTAATTAGTCGTTGGACCAAGGTTAATATAATGTTAAGGAAAAGAACACTTTTCGATAACCGCTATATGTATTGTAGATGAGAGGTTACCTTCACGCATCTGTCGCTTTACACGCCGACAGAGAGCCCCAGTAACTATTTTACAGTATAATGGGGTACCTTAAGTCCAGTTTGGATGACGTGGAGAAAAGAAAAATCTTTGCCCTCGTCGGGAGTCGAGTTCTGCTTTCCCACCTAACTCGTAATCTAGTCATTACACTGACTGAGCTGTTGTGCCTCTTTTAAAACATTCTAATTTCATATAAATTGTGTGCCCTTAATTCTCTCTGTATATAAAAGGGAGGAAAATTGGAGATTTTATCATTTTTCGTCGTTAAAGATGTGTGTTGCCTAAATCTTGCCCAAGCTGAGTATGTCCTGTCGGCCAAACTAACTCCCCACCCATAATTTAGAGGTACACGGAAAATAAACTTCGTCGCAGAATTCCTTGATGGACAGAGGGACAGCTTGTATCTTTTCGTTTCTTTTTTTCAAAAACTACCAGATTTTCTGAGAAATAGTGGGTCTAGAACCGAGTCCTCTCAGCCTCGCGAGAATAATATAGGAGACATTTCAAGGAAATGGCGGCTCCGGTCTAGAAAACTGAGATTAACGGCCGTGAGGATCCGTTGGGCTGACCACGAGGCACCCTCCATCCGCTAAAGCTGGCACTAACTTCGCCGACAAGCGGCGGTCGTTCGGTCGGTATAGTTCACTTTCGGACTGCAGGCCATGGAGTTTGTATGAACACCTTAACACAATATACTGAAATCTAAAACACTTCCGTTGTTACAGACACTACCCTAGGAACACTTCGTGTGATAGTCATCAAGGCGCGGTAGTTAATTGAGCGCAGGGATGTTTTTATTGCTAGTGGGGTGCGACTAAGTCCCTTGCACTGCGGCCACTTCTGGCCTATTGTACCAGCCCCAAATGATAGGTGAGGGTGACTGTGGAGCAATTGGTGGAATGAAGATTGGCAAGGGAAACCGAAGTACTCGGAGAAAACTTGCCCCAGCGCCACTTTGTCCACCACAAATCCCGCTTGACCAGACTTGACCGCCGCGGTGGGAAGCCAGCGACTAACCGCTTTAGCTAGGGCGCGGCCATATTACAAGTAGTTAATACTGTTTACTATTAGTTTAGTACGGATATACTAGCAAACTTATAAAAATATTTTTGTACAAATTTTATACATTACCTTCACTTTCGCCTCTTTGTGGTGCCAATATTGGCCTCGGTCGAGGGTGGAAGTAGGCGTTATCATTGTCGTCGAGGGTGGTGACCGGTGTGGTGGTGGTTCTGGAACTAGCAGCAGAACAGAAATTATATTTCGCTTCGGGTCTACGGAGAATTTGATTGTATTATAAAAAGGTAAAGCTGTCCTAGTGCTTAACTAATTAAGCACTGTACCATGAAGCCGTATGGAGGAGTGGATGTTTAGAT